GTGGTCGCAGCCGTTGGACCAATGCGGTTGAGAGCGTAAGCGATCCTGCGACAACTTTTTTTGGACTTCGCCAAGGCATAAGCTTGAAGACAAAAAAAAACAAAAAAAAATCGATTTCTTAAAAATGAACTAAGATCATTTTATACTCGTTGCAAGCATTGCTTATAATATAATATGACACTATCTAACGACAAAATTATAATTCACCAACCCTAGTAAACTAGGGTTGAAAAACCTATGCTTGCTCGAAAATACTAAATAGTTAAAACTATTTAGTATTTTCGAGCAAGCATAGGGTCGGACATATATCCCGGAGGAGAAGCCAACTCCTACCGGGCGCGTCCCCAGGTGGCGGATAGGGGAATGCCACCCGCTTAGGGCGGCGGGTGGTACCGGAGAAATCCGGCGCGGACCAAATGACTTGGGTGGGGCCGTTCGTCTAGACCTCGAGCCGAAGACGTTGCCGCCACCGATGGTGGGACCGCTTGGTCCCACAACCGGATGATGGGTGCCGGTTGCGGGACTGTGGTCGCAGGCCCGCATCCAGCGGAGGGGTAGGCCGCGGCGGGAGAGGAGTGCCGGTATTTCGTTGCATCGTTCTCCCTACCTTCCGCGGCCTAGACGGGGCCGCCACCGTTTGATGGCGGACGCGGTGGGGCTGCAGGGGAAGAGGAGTGTCGGTGTTTCGTTGCCGCTCTCCCTGTCCTCTGCAGCCGATTGGAGGTGGCCCACTTCGGTGGGCGGAGGTTCGGTTTAATGGGGCTGCTCCGGGTACCTCTCTGGTGTAGCAGAGTTGACTGTGGAGCAGCCCCATCGGTGTGGTGGTCAGCCGTTGGCAGACCAGCCGCCGGGGCGCCGTAGTAGTTATGCGCAAGCGATCCTGCGGCGTTCCATTAAGGCGGAGGGGAGAGGAATGTCCGGTTTTAGTGGGTTGTACCGGCTCTAGCCAGTGAGCCCCACATCACCACCTGGGGGATCAGGTGGTATGCGTAAATGCATTTCCCGACATAAAAAAAAAGGATCGGACATATATACAAACATACATACATATAAACACATTTATAGGTCACTCACATAATCCTCTTTTTAGGCTGCAATTCTGTAAAACGTAACCGTAGCTATGTAATATGTATTTTGCAACAAATAGGAACATTAAAAGTAAAAGATGCCGAGATGAAAGATGACATATGGATAGGCCTCAAGTCCATATATATATATATATATATAAATATAAATATATATATATATATATATATATATATATATATATGTATTATATACACATCTGACTAGTACTGTACAATGTCTATCAGGTCGAGCTTTCGATTCCTGTGCAGAGCAAATTTGAATATCGTAAATTCAAATTACGTGAGACTAATATAATTCATTAGAATCGTTTCTTGAATCATCTTTTTTTCTAAAATTTTTGAATTCTTTTCAAAATAGGATATTTTTTATTTCTACTTATTCTAAAAGAGTAACGATAATAGCAGTGCGAATCTAAAATTAGACATTTTACGTTTTTTTATTACGAAAGGGTTCCTTTCTTTCTAGAAAAATACAATTTTTATTCGAAGGACGCTCATAATGAATTGGACAGGCTGCTGTAAGGCGAGACAAATGGTATCGATATTTCTCGCCCGTACTGATCTTGCTTAGAAACGTTAAAGTTAAAAGTAAATATATTTTAACCGTAGATGGCTGACTTTTAGCTTGATTAAAATGAGCACTATTTTAAAAATAATTGTCTAAACTTCATGCCATTCATAATCTATACATGTAATAAAATTCTAGCTGAGTTGAATCTATACATTAAATATTTTTTGGAAAATCTTATTGAAATAATCATTATTTTATCGATACAGAGGCCGAATCTGTACTTTTTAGAATTTTTGTCTGTCTTTATGTCTGGGAACGCATCATGAGAAAACACTGGACAGATTTTGATGAAATTTGTTATGATGATAGCTGTTTTCCGGGGATACTTTTTACTACGGGTAAATATCTCATCTCTGAGAAATCTATGTTAAACGTTCAAATGTATCTAGGGACGAACCCGAGGCCCGAGAGGAGGGAGTATCTAAAGAGTAGCTAGTAGAGTAGCTAGTATGTTATAAAATTGTTTTAATATATTGTTATAGTTGACATTATCTGCCGTGATAAGTTTATTTTTAGCTGGATCTACATAAACTCGGAATGAAACTGACCGCAATGAAGCCCTTGGGTATTACAGAATCACAATTAATCATCTAAAGAAGCTTTTCATTGAAAATATAGTTTTTATCTTAATAAATATATTTTTCTGTCTTCTAATAAAAAAAATGTTCCAAGTAAGAGCAAATGATATACACAAAAACATGTTAACAATAATTAAAATTACTGCTTTTTATTAGGTTGTCATAGCTGGAAACGCAATCCTTATAATTTTTTATTGTCCGTCTGTCTATAAGTCACTTTACTTGTAGACTATTGAAGCAACATATATGACTGAAAATTGGTAACTATTTATCAAATGATTTGTCTCTCGTAATCGGCTCAACAAATTACGAAAAATGGCAAATAGGCCCTCTATTACCATTTTATATAGGTAGAATACCTATACTATAATATAGGGTATAAAAAAGGTTAAATCACATAAACGTAGGCAGGTCATAAGTAAAGGATGTTTTAAAATGAATCTGTTCAAGCAAATAGTTGCCGTGCTATACGCTAAATCCGATGAATTTACGAACTTTGTAAATTTTGTAAATATTATGTATCATTTTTCAAGGACGAATAAGTAAATATACTCGTACATTTTGTATCGCTATTATGTAAATAAATACTTGCTAATTAAACCAACTCGTCTGCAACCCCCTTTACAATCCTATACAATACTGCTATAGATGTCGAACACAATTGCGATCACTATTGCCTCAGGCTCGATTATTGAACTGATATTGAATAGAGCACGATACGTAGGTACATGTACATGTACATATATACGTAATCATTTGTCTGACCGTTCATTTTGAATATTACCTTAATTGGATGGTAGTTAATAAATTAACAATTATTGCAATTAAAGGATGACCATCCAGTAACCATATTGCTTCATGGGACATAGGCTTATATAAGCTAGAGGTCGCAGGTTCAATGTTTAGATTCCTGCGCTAGGTAAATGGATCACAGTTCATAAAATTAATATTCTCTAAAGATTTTCCTGAAGATATAATATATAAAGGACTAGCACCCACCACACAACATGCAAAATCTAAATAATTTGTAAGGAAATCGGAAAATCCATAATTAATATTCTATATCCCTTTGGACAGAAATATCAGGAGTTTCTTTATTTAATATTCTATACTCTACCCATGAGACTTGATTATTGCGATTAAAAAAAATTACCTTATATGGGAATAGAACCTAAGATCTAATAAATGTAATCATTATCGTTTATTTACTTTTGTATTATATTTGAGTTTGAAGCCTATGTCAACATTTACTTCCTCATGGCTGTTAAAATAAATCGAAGGTTTGCATATAAAATACGCTTTTGTAAGAAAATGAAAAACTAATATTTGCTATAACGTTCGTTTCCATCGTTGCTAAGAAGTAAAGGATATTTAATAAATGCATTGTAATAATCAATGATAAGAGGAAATTGAATTCACATAAAAGAAACATCAAAATTTTATCGTCAAATATGTGTTAAAAATACAAATCGGTTCATCAAATTATTGATACTACTTCCGCCATAATAAAGAAACATACAAAAAATCATACATCCCAATTAAAATTTTCCTTTTTTTAAGCCGAAAATTGAGAAATATTTTGATTATAATAAAAGAGTATTTATTCGAACACGAGTTGTTGTCTACTGTTTACAGGACAAGAGCTGTGGCTGTCCACCCCATTTAACTTGGTTAATATTCCCTGAGCTTTAGTACGCACGTTTGCATTTAGATGTCTTTGGAATTTGGACATATGTATGTACCTATGATAACCTTATATTTAATCCTAACTACGGCATCACTCGTTTACATTTTTTACTAGAGACTCACACTCACTTAGTTGTGTTAATTCTTAGGTGATTCTTTCAATTGACGTAAGATTTTTATTTATAACTCGATTAAAATAAAACAAATACTAAATGTTAAGTGAAGCTTACATTAGTAAATACATTAGTGAAAACCGTACCCAAATCGATTAAGCTGTTTCTGAGGTTAGCGCGCATAAACGGTCAGACAAACAGACAAAAATCTAAAAAATCATTGTTTAGGGTTCTATTGCATTGATAAAGACCCCTAGTAAAAGATTTTTCTCAAATGTCTTCCATATACAGACAGCGATCAGTTACACTTTTATTATACGTATAGGGTAGTGACTTACCCTTGCTTCACTCGGGTTCCTCCCTAGGTCTCTGTGTTAGTTCAAATCATAGTCTATCCAGACTATCTGTATATAAAATTTCATCCAAATCCGTACAGCCATTTAAGTGTGAAGGCGTAACAAACATACATACACATACAAGATTTCGCATTCATTATAATAGCCTGATTTCACTAGCAATCAAAAATCACGACCTCGATTTTTAATGCAGACGTAGCGAAGCGAGCTTTAACTACATCCGAACGATTGAAGTTAAACCTAGCTTTATTTTTTCCTTTTGCTCTTACTTATCTATGCTTGAATAAAATAGGATTAAACAGATCGACCGCTCTGAAATTCTAAACACCTCCGAACCTACATAAGTATGTATGTACGTACATAGAATTGCTGAATAAATGTATTTAAAAAACCAAATTAAATTTCTTACCACATAATATTTGGGTTATTTTAAAAAATATACATGTAGGGTAAATATGTATGGTAAATACAAAATATTTAACTAGTGACCCCTTGCAAAATAAGCAACGAAACTTTTACAATAAAAACATGTAAAAATATACCATATTAAAATATGTATATATTTATTATGAAGCAACTAAATGAATAGATAAAGGTTTTAAAAACTATAGTGCATGATAGCTGGAATTCTCCATTTTCGACACAGCTTTTGTTGCTTTGATCATCGTTGGCGAGTTGTAAGTAAATATATCTGAACAATAATATTCTTTTAAAGTCTTCATATAGATGTCTATTTGTTGCGATCCACATTTATCCCCAAATTTATCTTTATTCATTAGCTCTGGTATTAAATTATTAAATAGCTTCTCTTGATATACGCCAAAGTTGACTAAGTTCGGACTAATTTGAGCCATTCTGCGACACAGAGATTCTTGGTCGCTATAAAATAAGCATATTTTACAATACTCAGCTAAAGCTCTTATTATTTTCCAATCGTAACGAGCTTTTCCAGGCGGTGTGACAGCTGGGTAAGCAAACTGTGCTCTACATTCCATATTCATAAATGTTCCACCAGCCTCAGTATAGGCGCTACCGGGTAAAACTATGGAGGCACACTCCGCTCCTCGATCTCCTTGAAAACCAATGTAAATAATTGAACAATCCGTTGGCGGAACCCATTTACAAAATACATGATCCGCACCTAAAGATATCAAAACTTTTGGGCTAGATGATTTCAACGCGGCTAAACCTCCTGGTTTCCATCCAGCTTCTAATGCTGCAGCAAAACTAGCTTCCTTTGTTAGTATATTTAACACCCCCCAGTCTTTATCCACATTCAGGGTTGATACAAGCTTGTGCAACTCATTCATGATTCCTACAGCATTTGGCCCCTGTAATTGATCTATACCGACAAATATCAAAGGGTTTAATCCACTTTTTAAATAGATTTTAGCACTTGCTATATCTTTGACAGTCTCTCCAATGTAAGTAACAAAATAATTGTAATCGCATTTTGGACCAATTGCGTAAATATCACATTCATTGAATGAATAAGCTTGTCTTATTCTAGCATTTAGTATAGGAGCTTCAAAACGCGGATTTGTTCCAACTAAAAGTATTTTATCGGCTGTAGCAACATCTTTAATTTTAACATTCAAAGAGTATCCAGCTCTAATGTCTATACTTGTTTGTGAGTAAGCTAAATCGCGTTCGATGTAAGTATGATCTGACCCAAGAATGTTAAGCAGATCTTTTGCAGCGACCAACGTTTCTGCATTACAGTGAGGACCTGCTACAGCCATTAATTTAGATGGAGAGACACATGTCAGTAACTTTGATGCCATCTTTAAGGCGCGATGCCAGTCTATCGGACATAAACCACCTTCATTCCTGTGCATAGGAGTTATTAGTCTTTGAACTTCTAGTGAATCAATTGCCCACCGCCCTTTATCTGATAGCCATTCTTGATTAATATTATCATTTTCTCGAGGTAACATTCGTAGCACACGATCAAATCTATGATTTACAACAATATTAGTCCCTGTTGCGTCTGTCACATCAATTGAGTCAGTCTTTCTCAATTCCCAGGGCCTTGCTTTAAACATATACGGCTTAGAAGTTAAAGCGCCCACTGGACACAAATCTATTACGTTGCCAGATAATTCAGAGAGGAACATTTTGTCTACATATGTTCCTACAAGCATTTCTCCGCCACGACCAGTAGATCCTAAAATTTCCATTCCACAAACTTGTGATGCAAAACGAATGCACCGAGTGCAGTGAATACATCTTGTCATTTCTGTTCTAATGAGTGGTCCTAAATTCTTACTCTCTACAGCCCTTTTGCCTTCAAAGTGTATATCAGTGAACCGTGTACGATCATTGCCAAATTTCATAGTGAGATCTTGCAAGTCACACTCTCCTCCTTGATCGCATATTGGGCAGTCCAGTGGATGGTCTATTAGAATAAATTCTAAAACACTTTCCTGTGCTTTTTGTGTTATAATAGAATTAGTTTTAACTTTCATATTTTTTGACACTGGCATAGCGCAAGCAACTTGAGGCTTCCCTATACCTTCTATTTCAACGAGACACATTCTGCAGTTGCCAGCAATGGATAGTCTATCATGATAGCAGAATGTTGGTACTTCAATGCCTTCTCTACGTAGCGCTTGAAGGATTGTAAAATAGCTCGGAACAGTAACAGATTGACCATTGATGAATATATTGATTAAATTAGATTGTTTACGAATAATATTAAATATTACGTCTCGCTTACAAAATTTATTTAATGTTCTAAGCATATTTTTTACTTTTTATCGTCGTGTTATCTTTATTTTTAATATTATTATTATATACCTTAAATAATTTATATTTTTAATATGCTTTAAGTGTCACACTTGCCTGTAAATCAACTTTGACTTCCATATGTTTATGACACCTGAAATGTACTACGACAGTGTCATATTTAAAAAAAGTTAATATATAAACTAATTAAGATTTAATATGTAATAATATATATAAGAAAGTTGTAAGCAATATGTAAGATAACAGTTCATATATATCATCATAATGATTATGATATCGATTTATTAATAAAAAAATGAGACATTAATATTATTCGTAAATATACATCTGAATTCAATAATTCTGTTTGGCTTTTAAGCTACTTGATGACAATTTCTACTCTATATCCAGCACTAGCTATCCAGTACTATGTATCAATAACGATTACATAAGTAATTCCCTATCGATTTTGAAATCGATTTTTAGTTGGTTTAAAAGATAACTCAGTTAGACCCAACCCACAAGATTTATTTAAATAAAAGATAAAAACGTAGAGTTTCAACTGCGACCATAACGACATAATAAATTCACACCAACGTGAAAAAGTTCAACGAGCATTTTTATTAAATTTTCGCCAACGTGTATCAATTTTGTAACGGCATGCGTGGTAGGTACCAAGAGGCCTTATCTCGTGTAAAACTCGAATGTCTTTCAATATCAATATAAACTACGAATTTCTTAATAACGGCATCTTGCATTAAAAAGTCTAAATCAGTACAAGTTTATCTGTCTAATAGCTACAATACAGGACTGTTTTACAGAAATCTTATGGTACCTAAATTACATTGAAAATCTTAATCCTTCATAGGACCTATAAAGGCTATTTTTCCCATTACAAATTAATACAACAAAATAGCTGATACTGAGGACTGCAGTCTTGGATCTAGACATAGGGCTACGAACTGAAGGTCATGGGTTCGAGTCCCGGATCGTGGTCGTCAAGTATAATGAAATTGTGCCAAGAAATTCCTAGTGACAACTGATTTGGAAAGTCGACGGTGTTACACTACCGGGCCTTGCGGAGCAATTAAAGTACTTTATGGTGGTGTAGAACTTGTGCCGTGCGTATTTCAGAGTCAAAGGAATAGAGAGTGCACTTGTGTTTACTCTGCGTCATAATTAGTTTTTTAACGTTGGGCAATGCATTTAGTAAGTGTGGGACTTATTAATACCTGACTACCCACTAAAAACTAATAAAACCTTCCCCGTCTTAATGGGGCGTTGCAGTATCGCTTACGCATTCAACTACGACGCCCGACGGCAGGTCTGCCGAGGAGACAACGACCATGGGGTTGCTCCAAAGTCCACTCTGCTATCAGAGAAGTACCAGGAGCAACCCGCATGGTACATCTGAAGAGGGCCTATCTTTTTGGAAGATTTATCGAACTAATCATTATTATCGGTGGGTCAAAGGCCGAATTTATAGTTTTTAGAATTTTTGTCTGTCTATCTGTCTGTCTGGGAACGCATCACGAGTAAACCACTGGACAGATTTTGATGATATTTGGTATGATGATAGCTGGTTATCCGGGTTAACATATAGAGTACTTTTTACTGCGGGAAAATATTTAATCTCTGAGAAATCTATACGAACCGCTAAAACGTATCTAGGGACGAACTCGAGCGGAGCGAGGTGAGTCGTTAGCACTTAATAATATTCTAACACGACTCCCTGACAAACAATACATAATTTAAATCGTTGGCTCTGGAGCATGATTATAAAACAAAGTTACACTAAAGAAGGACTTGGACTGTTTATCCTCTTAAGAAGTTCAATAGGGAAGGATTCTATAGGGAAGAAAACCTAAATGGAAATTTTTCATTTTTAAAGATAGCAATCACACTACTATTATTAGCACGAATTATTTATATGTGTGTTTGTACGTTTGTTACGGGCCATATGGCAATATGTACAATATTATAAAAAAAAAATCCTATCGATGCATCTGAGTGAAGAAAGGTAAGTGACTAGTATGGTAATAAATGCTTAAATTTCTGTTTATGTAGCCAATAGAAAATTTTAAAAGAGAAGTGGAAAATTCTCAAAGGTTTACTGTGTAAGTAATAATGAACAAAACACAAACCGCCTGATTTACTAACATATATGTAAATCTTTATAAATTAAATAAACTCAAAGTAAGTATGACGTATAATACCACACATCATATTATATATATTATAGGTAATTAGTATTTATTATTGCTGCCAGAATACAAGAATATCATTGAATTATATATATATATATATATATTTTTAATTTTATATATTTATCCATTATTTCATTTCCCCTTATTTTAAGATTTTTTTAAGATTAGGATAAACACTTCATTCATATATATATTTGTATTTTGAATATAAGTGGAACATTAAAAACAAATTACGCCATTTTATACTTTCTAACTAATTTTTACTTATATTATGCTGCGAAAAAGAACACAAATATACTTCCAACTGATATAATATAGTACAAAAAAATTGTTTTGTACAATTTGCATTAAAACATAAAATAAACTGAAGGTATCCTCCACTCCATACTCGCTTATATCGAAATTCATGAGATTAATATTAAATCAGTATAAACCTTAGTACCTCCTTATCTCCCTAGAGAAAATAATTTAATATTCCATACATGTTCTCTTTATAGGTACAAGGGAACGATTTAACGCTTAACAAAATATCTATCTATCTTTATATATATAATTCTTCTGTGAGTGTGTATGTCACTGAACTTCTCTCAAACGACTGGACCGATTATGATGAAATTTTTTGTGTGTGTTCAAGGGGATCTGGGAATGGTTTAGATTCACAATTTTGTCCGCTGGACAATGTTTTTTAATTAATTTTTAATTTTCAAATTAAAGACGTGTAGACAGGACAACGTCTGTCGGGTCCGCTAGTATATGTATAAAAAATGAATCCCTATTTCCCTCGGTCACGCCATCACGCGTGAACGGCTGGACCGATTTAACTGTTTTTTTTTTTGTTGTGTTTGTTATTGTCAGGAGAAGGTTCTTATGAAAGAAAGAAATTAAAAAATTGCGCGGAAAATTATAAAATTTAAGAATACTTAACAACCATATTAAAATTTATATGGCGACCGCTGGGTAATTACTATTAATATATATTTAAAACGTACCTATGTTATTATTTTGTTATGTTTTACGAAATCCATCACAAAACAGAAGCTTTTCTTGCCCTCTCTATTAGATATTTTAGTTGTATCATGATGATGATCAAGAAAAACTTTTTTTAAAGCTTAAAAAAAAGCTTGCCATGTTATTTTCAGCATTTGTACCGTCGTGACCAATAAACAAGACCCCCGGTTTATAAGAAAACTTAATATATTTTATATCAAAAGTAGATTATTTTGACGAGTTACATATGAAACGATTATCTGTACAGCAGAAAAGTAACTATTTTAATGTTTTTAAGTTATATCGGACTATTAATATAAATATTTAAGTTTTGTCTGTGTGAATGAGTATATGTGTGTGTGTGTGTATGTGTGAGTGTGTGTTTTCTGAAACTACCGAATCGATTGGAATAAAATGCGAATGCGTAGTCGCTACGTATATTAGTTATTCCGACAATTTACATCGCACTGCTGGGCACGAAGAGGGATTGGCATATAGTCCTTTACACTGACGTTATGCAAATAACAGACTTCACACTTACAGAATACCGAGCGAATCCTAGAGCAAACACTAGTTATATATAAAAGAAACTTTCATCCTATTTATCTTAATTACTTGCTATTTACTATGTTCTACGAGATTGTAACTAAGTAGTTACAGGCTTTAGCTTACGATGCTTTAACAGTAATTTACTACAATGCCTTGGTTGACTACAACTATATGAAACAGAGGATAGTAACTTATTGTATACCTAGAAAACTCTGTAATATTTTCCTTTTTTCGATTGAAATACAGACAAAACTGCAAATAATAGTTAGGATTTTAGTATGTTTAATACTCGTAGTAGTACAATTGTGCATATTTTTTATCAAATACCTGGGCGATCGAGTGCTCGGTATTTTTCGGAAAAGATATAAAAATCGTGATTCTTTTAGCAAAACCTTATCTTAATACAAAATTTGATCAAAATGGTTAAAGTCAAAATCGTAAAAGTTGGCGTTTCCGAAATACAAAAACAATTTTATATATACATATGTATATACAAGAATTGCTCGTTTAATATAATAAGATAATATACTTAAGTAAGCAGTCGCAGTTGCGATTCTTATATATATGAGTACATACATATATTTGGCTACATAAACATATTCTAAAACTTCTAGTAAAAGTCTGATATTCATAATCAAATTCCATACTATTTAGTTTGAGGTATTCGTAAGAAACATTACAATAAAAAATATTCCATACTAATGTCCTTAAATACTAAAAAAAATACATGACTTGACGTGGGACTCGAACCCAGTACCTCCAGATCTGCAATACCTCATGGTATTCAATCCATTATCGTTTTCAAATGTAATTGACGCCCCTACCTATAAGACCTTCTAGTTAAGATGAGACGGGATTTTCTATCCGCAGGATAAATTGAGCAAAGGTACAATACGAATTTTAAATCCCACGCACATGTTATATCATCTCGTAGGTTTTCTAGTGATGGAAGGGACGGCAGTTTCTTAGTAGCAAACAGTTTTATTATGTGGAAAAGGCTAAGCATATTATATGGTAATCATTGATCCTTGAAAAGGGTCACAATAGAGTTACAAAAGATTTTTCCTTGCAAATACAGTTGGAGAGATTCCTAAAGACACTACATAATATATTTGCACTTACTTTAACTAATAAGAAACTCTATTTGCGTTGAAAATTGCTATAATTCAGTTACAAAACAATAATTATATACTTATAACTAACTTTTGTCGCGGGCTCGTTTGTTCTAGTTTGATTTTTAGACTATTTACCTCTTTTCTCCTCCTGTAGAGGTTGTTTTTGAAAAACCCGAAATATGTGTGTCTGTGAATTTCGAATTCGAATTGATAATATATCTCTCTTACATGATTTCTCTTTACACATTTTGAACCCCTGTCTCATCCATTTAGGGGACATTTCAAAAATCTGTTCCTATTGGATGCCTCGTCATAATAACTTTTGTGTGCCTTTCTACCCTATCCGTTCAGTGGTTTGAGCGTTGAGTTGATAGATTTAGTCTGTTAGTCACGGTTTCCTTTTTATGTACATGTATACAGTTAATTAGTACTGCATAAATCATAATTTTTAAAGTCATAAACGAACCACACTTCTCATCAGCGAAGGGGGCCATAAGACTAGGGTGTTATATTTTTGAAGAAGTTTTTAACTTCAACTCTATGAATTAAAGGTAGTACGTGGTATACTTAAGTGGTTTAAAAAGTTCTGCCATCTCCCTTGCAGCTTTTTATCATAAGTCTTCATGTTCACATATTTTGGTCATTAAGATTTCCATTTATACTTGCTCTCGTATACTTAAAGGATACAAAAAATTCTTACATTTAAAAGGTTTCGCTATTTTAATCTATACTAATATTATAGAAGTAAAGTTTGTAAGTTTGTGAGGTTGTAGGGAGTAATCTCTGAATCATCTTAAACTATCTTATTATTAAAAATTTGATAATAAGATAATTTCAGACCCTAGGAAGGACATAGGATACTTTTTATACCGCATATCATCCCTTAAGGGGGTAAAAATGGGGATGAAAGTTTGTATTGGGAATCAACCTAGTCTATACTAATATTTTAAATTGGTAAAGTTTGTGAGTTTGTGATTGCTGTAAAGCATTCAAAACGTCGGGAACCAAAAATTAAAATAAATTCGCAAAAAAAATCCGAAAAGATAGTTTTATTTAAAATGTCAAATATTCGCGTAAATCTAAGAATGTATTATGGAAGGGCTCATATTTGGTAGGTTACATTTTACCTCTGAAGAGAGATAGCGCCTCGCTGCACACATTATAAATAAATCAAGTAATACACGTAACATATCGATATTTGGCGATTCATAATCCATACTGAAGTTGTGGACGGAATAATCATAGGTTTCATCAATCAGTTCCGTGCCTTGCCACTTGAAGGTATCGATTTTCGTTACCTTCTATTTATATTGGAGAGAATTCGTAAGAATACCCATTAGAATACCATTAGCCGACTTCAAACAACTAAATAAATTCATTTCTTTTAATAAAATCTTATAAGGAAAATGAAGTAACGTCTCAATAATTTCCAAAAAACTGATTTACGTATGTCATTATTTATGTGCATATGTCAAAGCCTTTATATCTATGCTTGACCGTCTTTTGTAGCTTATCTCCGGAATGTAAAAAAATTTTTTTATAGTGGGTGAATATGCGTGTTCACTATAGTTGTGTATGCAGGGAGATAATTGAAAGTATGAAGTTACATATTATTTATTATACCAGCGATTCACCCTCGCTCCGCTCGGGATTGTCCTTAGTTACATTTTAAGGTTTGATATAGATTTTTCGAGACTTAAAGAGATGTACTAGGAGGAGGCCCACTTCGGTGGGCGGTGTACTATGCAGGTTGCTTGCCCCATTGAAACGGGGGAGGCTGTGATGGGTTTTAGTGTAGTACTGGCTTTTCTTGTGAGTCTTACATAACCACCTGTATGTATACAGGTGGTGTGTGTAAATGCATTTCCCAACATTACAATAAAAAACATACTACGTCACTCCATCTTTCATCTCGGATCTCTGATATGTTAATGAGATAAAATCAGCGGACTCCACAAAATCCTCAACTTTTGGTAAAATTGCTATTATGAAAATACACACGATGGTATTTTACGTCTTTTATCAATTCCACACGAACGAGTGGGCAGCGGATTCTAGTAATGTCACGTCTTTACCAAGCGAAAATCTTTAAAAATATTTCCTCTGTTATTTTATATAGGAGGCCACTTATAAAATACATTCGCAAACAAAACTGTATTGTTACAGTGACATAATCTGACGATCTAAAGGTCTGAGGAAACTGACGTCAACTGTATCAGGCTATTTCTTCGAGATTGCGTTCTTCATCTGATTAATCTGGCCAAAAAATATTTTCATTTTTGGCTCTATCCAAATATTATTTGGCATGTCTTTAAACATAAGAGTATGTTGAATAGAGCCAAAAATGAAAATAATTTTTGGCCAGATTAATCAGATGAAGGACGCAATCTCGGAGAAATACCCATCATACATCAAAGAAATTCATAATTTTCTCTTTTTATAACTTGGCTCATCATGATGAAGGTGGAGGAAGAAATTTTGTGTAATGTATTTAATGAATAGCCTCTACGATTAAATATATAAATAAATATGTTTGGACAACACACAGCACCATCTAGTTCCATGGTAAGCTACGAGACTTGTGTTATGGATACCAGATATTTGATACACTATACACATATTACTTTAAACATATACATATTATAAATATAAATACCCATGACTGGAGTACAAATATTCGTGCTCATCACCCCCACACTGCTGGCACAACAAGTAGGATCACTGTAAACTGACCCAAACGTGTCGTCAATCTACAGCATCGGACGCAATTAGCACTGCAATTTGACTCCACCACGACTTTCACGGTTTATACGAATGTTTGACATTGAAATAATACTATTTATACGGACATTTTCGCGATTTATTTTATTCAGCAAACATGGTCACAGGGGAGACCTGTCACAATAAGATCTTTGCTGTAAACTATCTGAAAAAACGTGAATCGAAAATCAAAATGTCGTCCCTTAAAATTGATCTTTAACTTTAACTCATTTTAGGCTTTCGTGCGTATGTTCAGACAAAGCCCAAATCGCTGAGATGCATTACCACGTAATAACATCCGCTTATTTTACCGACATGTCTAAGCAAGTTTACTCTCACGTCGAGTTAAATGAAAAGTAAACTAATATCAGATATTCTATACCTTTCACAAACATGCGGAAGACGAATCAATTGTATCAAAGTGATTGACTAGTGAAACATATACTCAAAATATATATTGAAATGAAATGAAATAAATTTTATTCAATTGGACTTATTCCAAGTGCTTTTGAATGCTTATTGCGCATACACATGCCTATCCCTTTTTAGCCCTTTTTAACTTCCCACTGTTGGGAACGGGCCTCCCTTTAATACGAGGGATCAAGCCATAGTCCACCATGCTTTTTTTTAACGTTGGGAAATGCATTTACGCACGAGGTGTGTGACTCACTGGCAAAGCCAGTACTACCCACTAAAACCCAACAAAACCTTCCCCCGTCTTAATGGGGCGTCGCAGGATCGCTTACGCATTCAACTACGACGCCCCGACGGCAGGTCTGCCGAAGCAGACCACAACAACCACGGGGTTGCTCCAAGGTCATAGTCCACCATGCTGGCCAAGTGCGGCTCCATCGAATTTTTGATTAGCAGACGCTTTATTTAATTATTCATATATTACTAGCGAATTTTCTATTCAATGTACAGGCGCGGTGCAATTACAGTTATATTATGTGTATAGATTTAAAAACACATACACAGCTAAGATATTACACTAGGGTAATAATGATCATGTTTCTTCATGGGTAATGTGTTCTACGATAAGTTAGAAGAGAAATTACGATAAAAAAGCGATCCAGACCCAATTTCTCATTTCCTGCCGATATTTCTGGAGGATTCATATTGGCTTGTCATTATCGTTCGGAAATAGAGCTATTGACAAGTGAAGCAAAATTTATAATTTTCATTCATTCATTTTAGTCATTCATTCGTTTCATTATATTCACAATGAAATTACTTTATAATCAAAAATATGTTTTGACTTTTGAATTACTTAAAAGTATTGTTAGGTTCTACCTTTTGGGGTGGAACTCATTTAAAAATTTAAGCCCTTAGGATCGCCTTGATTACCAAAATTTTTATGAAAATCACAAAAAAGTACAGCCATTATTAAGTTCAAAAAAATTCTACAAAAAATATATTAGTCTAGTACTTTCCGACGACACAAGGTAACTTTTCTATTAGTTTCCTGGCAATCTACTCTGATAATGCATTCTCTTACATGTGGAAAGTATCATTTTTAAACTAAAATTTTAATCTGTATAAATATTATAAATGTGAATGTTTGTGAGTATGTATGGATGTGTGTTACTCTTTCACACCACAACAGCTGAACGGATCTGGATGAAAGGCACAGAGATAAATTATAGTCTGGAATAACACATAGGCTACTTTTTATCCTGGAAAAATATACGGTTCCTGAGGGATAGATTTGTTTTTGTTTTTCTTGAGGCGAACCCGAGTGAAGTATAGGCGAGCCGCTAGTTTCATATATAAAAAGAATAAATCAGCACATAAATTTTTGGAAATGTCGTTAGTTTAAAATTTAAATAATAATATATGCCACGGCCCTCTAGATAGATAGAATTTATAAAATAAATTATAAACACAAAATAATATTAACAATGTCAATCCTCGGGATAGAAGATTTAAAGGATATCAAAATATTAAGGCAAATCTTTGCCGAATTTCTCGGTACGTTTTTATACTTATCTATATCACTGTTAGCTGGGACCTCTCTCGGGGCGGGGGCCGTCGCTACCGCGCTTGCTAATGGACTATTAGTAGCATCAGTTATTCAAATAATTGGACAAGTCTCTGGAGGGCACATTAACCCAGCTGTTACGATTGGTGTTTTAACATGTGGATGCATGAAGATTATGAAGGCAATTCTCTATATAACAGCACAAATTCTTGGAAGTATTCTTGGATCTCTTGTAGCTTATGCTATAGTTGACAGTTCTTCAAGAAACGCCCTCGGTGCAACCATACCTTATAGCGAGTTGAGAGCTTATCAGATTCTGATTTTGGAATTTATTACGACTTTTATTTTGGTTGCTGTTGTTTTAAGTGTTGTAGATCGAAAAGGTCTTAGAAACATAGCACCCATAGCTATTGGATTGAGTATAACTGGTTGTCAATGTTCTGCGGTATTGTATAGTGGGTCTTTAAATCCAGTTAGATCTCTGGGACCAGCAGTGGCAGTAAACATCTGGACTCATCATTGGGTTTACTGGGTCGGACCTCTTCTTGGGGGTTTCCTTGCAGGTTTAACGCATAAATATATATTCAATACTAATGCATCTACCGTCAATATTATTGAAAATGAATAAAAAATGGTTTGTTGATATTAAAATATTTTAAAATACATAACCCTTTTAATTTCGGATAAGAGTTCCCAACCAAGAGGGAACGCCTCTCTAGGGAGAATTTATTTTGTATAATTTAAAATTAAAATATACAAAAATGGTTAAAAATAATGCGTTTAATTATAATAAAAAAGTAAAAGGGCAGGAGGTGGGCGTGAAAATATAAATAGTTAAAATAATGTGTGTTTTATCATAATAAAAAAATAAAGAGGGGCATGAAAATATGATTTTATAATCCGAGGAAGCTCAACAGAAGAAAGGTTAGGAAGCCCTGATTTAGAATATCATTGTTATTTGTACACTATTAGGCTTTTTGAATTTAGTTGGACGAGAATATTTGTTCCTGACATGTTTATTATATGGATATACAAAGCGGTTCATATTTCATAATATTTTTTATGTTAAAAAAATGTTGGAATTATTTTGTTTAATCTACAAAGTATAGAAATCTGGAAAACAAGGAAATTTTTAAATCCAGAAATTATTAAAATTTATTTTTTAAACATCGCAAAGATGTCCATATGCACATATCACAGACTTATTATTTCTTTATAATATTTATCTAAGCCAGGCAAATTAATAGCTAACTTTACCTACGCTTTTCCCACGTGAATGCAACTATTTATTTCTTTAAATAGAGAATTGAGGTGAAAACGACTTAGAGGAATAATAACGAATTAATATATACATATAATAAAATTGTAACTAAGCCGAATCTGTACATTAAATATTTTTTGGAAAAACTTATTGAAATAGACATTATTATCGATACAGAGCGGCAGTCTATAGTTTTTAGAATTTTTGTCTGTCTGTTACCGCATCACAGAAAAACAACTGGAGGGGTTTTGATGAAAGGTATAATAGTGATAGTTGGTTATCCGGGTCAACATATAGGAGACTTCTTACTGCGGGAAAATATCTCATTTCTGAAAAAAAAATAATACAAAAACTACAATGTAAGAGTATACTGATATGTAAAGCCTAAGAATTTGGTTTTTGGTCAGCTGAACGCGGGCGGAGCCGCGGGCAATGCTAGTATATCTATATAGTTATGATACTTCAGGTTCTAGTATAATAATTGTAAGAAAGTTAGCTTCTTGTTTTATATCCATGCCCTTGAACTAAGCCACAATGGCTTTGTTAGCTCACATCCAGTCTAGACTGTCGTTGTCTGGACTTAGAAATAATGATAGTTGTAAAAACTGAAACTACATGTTCTAGCTTAGCTTTTAACTTTTACTTCTATTCTTGAAAATAAACAACGTGATTTATTTAGTTTTTTTTGACATTTTTATTATGATGACATTTATTTTTATTGCCAGCAAATGTCGAGAATAAGTAAACATCCATGAAAGATTTAGTCATATGTTTTTAAATAACTCAAGAAGTTTTCACGATTTAAAAGATATTTGAAAGAAATGTATCTCTTAGTCACTCAAAATTCAGGCTTCTAGCTTTATCCATAACGAAGTTATGGGGGGGTGAAAATGCTCTGAATCCCTTCGAGAAAAGGATGGTACTGCCGTGCCCTTTTTTTTGCTCGACTTGGCGGGGGCACTGCCGTGCCCCCCGATACAGGATGGAACAAATGTATGGGACGTGGAAGAAAAGTAGGTACTTTAAATATTGAAGTTATCAAGGTATTTTTAATTGGTTCGATTATCGATCCATCTGTTAAGGTAAGTTTTTTTTTTAAATGCAGTTATTATCCTTTTTTTAACTAAAGGAATGTTTCCTTTGAGTAAAATTTGATAAATTCAATATTTAAGGTACTTTTCTTCCATGCCCCATCGATTTGTTCCACCCTGTGTAATTATAATATTCCGAGTTTCAACGTTATCAACTTAATCGCCAAGTTAATTGAACATTTAACATGTGGACGCTATGTGCATGTACGTATATCCGACAACTTACATTGGGTTGGTTGGCTCACTATTACAATGTTCTATGTTACAATTTTAGTACTTATTTAGTTATTAATGATACAAGGTTCTATGTGTCATTAGCTACAGTTTTACAAAAACAAACCACTAGATAGCGGCACTATAACTACAAAATATTCAATTTTACATAGTTCTATGTTGTTTGTTTTACGATAACAAAATAACGAGGTTCTATGTAGAAATTACTGAACTTTATTAAAATTAACATAGAACCTTGTAATAGTAAGCCAACGAATTGGTAAGCTACTAGTTTACTAGGCGTCAAAATTAGAACCTACATGAAGATATTACCGTTCAAAATTACACGTAGGCTTACACTGTTTTTTGAAGTCAATAAAAGAAACGACGATTTGTTTTGTAAATTGTAAGAAAGTAGTACGCATGAACTACCCTACGATGCTACGTTCAATTTCACTCACTCATTTAATGTACAGATTCAACTATAAGTTAGAATTTTATTCTATGTATACCCTGTTTTCCAATTTGAGCATTAATGTAAGGAGCATTATGCGGCATAATGCTTATTTCAAATGTTTCAACAACAATAATGCTCCGCACAATCGAGAATTTTGAAAAGTACTGCTTTGTCGTGATGCGCGCAAGGATATCAACAAAATATAAAAAAATATAGGTAAGAAGTGTTTATTCTTTAAGGTGGCATTGATTAAAATTGTATTTACATTATCGTTAGTAATATTTGTTTATATTTGATATATATTATATATTAATATTAATTATATAATTTATAATAATATTATATTATGCCTCCCTTCAGTACGAGGGGGATGAGGCCATAGTCCACCACGCTGGCTAAGTGCGGGTTGGCGAGCTTCACATGTCTTTTGAAAACTTGGTAGATTCTCTCAGACATGCAGGTTTCCTCACGATGTTTTCCTTCACCGTAAGGCAAGTGGTGATCATGTTAGAAATGATTCGCACATATAAATATCGAGAGATGCGAGACCCGTATTTGAACTCGCTTCACTCGGTTTCCCAAGCGAGCTCATTACCAATGTGCTACCACTGCTTTATTATTATGTATTATTATATATTTATTAGTTAGTTATATTTTTTCTTTTAACACTGAACCTAGTGCCCTCTGCTGGTGCACTTGAAAACTAATTCACGTTCCAATTATGCATTAGCACATTTCGGTATTGTGGCCAAAGTGCAGCATTATGCTCTATAATTGGAAAATAGGGATAAATATATGTAGATGAGAGGGACATTTAGGGACGAACATTATCGAGAAGTCTAGTAACCCCCTTTTTTTTTAACGTTGGGAAATGCATTTACGCACGACGTGTGGGACTCACCGGCGTAATACAGCCAGTACTACCCACTAAAACCCAACAAAACCTTCCCCCGTCTTAATGGGGCGTCGCAGGATCGCTTACGCATTCAACTACGACGCCCCGACGGCAGGTCTGCCAAAGCAGACCACCACAACCATGGGGTTGCTCCAAGGTCCACTCTGCTATCAGAGAAGTACCAGGAGCAACCCGCAAGGTACACCGCTCCCCGAAGAGGGCCACCTCCCACCGCCCACCGAAGTGGGCAACCTCCCTGTGCGTTTCTTAGCTTCGCTACTACTACTGAGCCCCCCCACCACGACAAGGTGAACGCACGTTGGGGGGGAGTCTAGTAACCGCCTAGATCAGCTACACTCAACCTGCGGCCCGCGGGCCGCGTGCGGCCCGCGGGCCGCGTGCGGCCCGCCGGGTCTTTGTTATTGGCCTATCTGAAGTTGCATCTCAGAGTTGGCTTCGGTTTTAAATTGTAATTACTCAGAGTTGTTTGATGAGTTCATCGATTTTGAAAACGATACCAATCTAGAAGTTCTGTTTAAAGAAAAAATGGAAAACAGACCATGACTGAAACGTGTTTGTGGCCCCTATAAAAAAAAAGTTGAGTATGGCTGCCCTAGATAATACCATAATTATGCTAGCTATAGCTTTACCTGACCTGGATATACACCGCCGTGGTAAGGCCGATCATAACATACGCCTCAGTCGTATGGTGTAACAAAACCAAACAAAAGACAACTATGAGTAAACTAGACAGCATACAACGGATGGCATGTCTAACTATCACGGGAGCCTTCCATTCGGCACCAGGCGACGCTCTAAATGCTTTGTTGGACATAGCTCCGCTATATCTCCACGTGCAAAAAGAAGCTAAATCTTGCCTCTACAGGCTCTGTACACAATCGAATGTAAAGTTGCAATCGCAATATATGAACAAACTCAAGGAGTTGACATTCGAACACAAAACTCTGAAAATGCCAGTCGATAGCAAGAGTACAGAGTTTAACTTCGCAAAACAGTACCAAATAGATCTTCCCAACCGGGACATGTGGCTAAAAAACCAAGAGTCTCACAAAAAGGGCAGTCATGTTTGGTTTACAGATGGATCCAAGAAAGGATCTGATGTAGGGTGCGGTATCTATGGCCTTAAGCCTAGATTTGACATGAGTGTCAATCTGGGCAAGGAGGCCACCATCTTCCAAGCCGAGGTCTTCGCCATCAACAAATGTGCTGAAGTCATCCTGGAGAGAAAGCTTAGAAACCAAAATATCTACATCAACTCAGATAGCCAAGCAGCACTTCTGGCTATAGATTCTCTTGAGACCAACTCTAAGTTGGTCAAAGACTGTATGGATAATCTGAATGTCCTGGGCACATCCAACAGAGTCACCCTCAGATGGGTCCCGGGTCACTCAGGCATAGATGGGAACGAAAAGGCTGATGCATTGGCAAGAAGGGGCGCTGAAACCCCAGTTTGTGGCCCAGAACCATTCTGTGGCATTGCAAAACAACATGCCTATTCAATTCTCAAAATTCTCTGCAATCGCCAAGCACTTCAAGAGTGGCAATCCACTTCTGGACATATACACTCTAAAGCGCTAATTAAGGTATATCGCAAAAAGTTTACAAAAGAGTTGCTTCAACTCAACAAGTATAAAACCGGTGCAGTAACCAGAATACTTACTGGTCACTGCAAACTTAATAAACATATGTTTACCCTCGGCCTCAGTCAGACCGCAATGTGCAGACTATGCCATGAGACAGAGGAAACTGCTATGCACATCCTCTGCTCGTGCGGTCCACTCATGCACCGCAGAAGTATCTATCTAGGGCAGCATATTATGCAACCGGAAGAGATACAGATGCTCCCCGCTCAGAAAATCTGGAAGTTCCTGGAGTCAACAGGACTAAGCGGAGAACTGTGAACTCACTATAAAGGGAGCTACAATGGACCAAAACTGGTCGACGTAGCTAGGGCCGACCTCGGCACCACACCCAACACTAAATAATAATACCTGACCTGACGTGTACGATTAAATTTGCAGTGTGTAAATAGTGAGTTCAGTAATATTATTAGGTAGGTACTTCTATTACGCGGTCTATTCACATTTAGATAACGACGCCGATATAATCCGAGGAAGCTCAACAGAAGAAAGGTTGGGAAGCCCTGATTTAGAATATCATTGTTATTTGTACACTATTAGGCTTTTTGAATTTAGTTGGACGAGAATATTTGTTCCTGACATGTTTATTATATGGATATACAAAGCGGTTCATATTTCATAATATTTTTTATGTTAAAAAAATGTTGGAATTATTTTGTTTAATCTACAAAGTATAGAAATCTGGAAAACAAGGAAATTTTTAAATCCAGAAATCATTAAAATTTATTTTTTAAACATCGCAAAGATGTCCATATGCACATATCACAGACTTATTATTTCTTTATAATATTTATCTAAGCCAGGCAAATTAATAGCTAACTTTACCTACGCTTTTCCCACGTGAATGCAACTATTTATTTCTTTAAATAGAGAATTGAGGTGAAAACGACTTAGAGGAATAATAACGAATTAATATATACATATAATAAAATTGTAACTAAGCCGAATCTGTACATTAAATATTTTTTGGAAAAACTTATTGAAATAGACATTATTATCGATACAGAGGCCGAGTCTATAGTTTTTAGAATTTTTGTCTGTCTGTCTGTTACCGCATCACAGAAAAACAACTGAAGGGGTTTTGATGAAAGGTATAGTGATAGTTGGTTATCCGGGTCAACATATAGGAGACTTTTTACTGCGGGAAAATATCTCATTTCTGAAAAAAAAATACAAAAACTACAATGTAAGAGTATACTGATATGTAAAGCCTAAGAATTTGGTTTTTGGTCATCTGAACGCGGGCGGAGCCGCGGGCAATGCTAGTATATCTATATAGTTATGATACTTCAGGTTCTAGTATAATAACTGTAAGAAAGTTAGCTTCTAGTTTTATATCCATGCCCTTGAACTAAGCCACAATGGCTTTGTTAGCTCACATCCAGTCTAGACTGTCGTTGTCTGGACTTAGAAATAATGATAGTTGTAAAAACTGAAACTACATGTTCTAGCTTAGCTTTTAACTTTTACTTCTATTCTTGAAAATAAACAACGTGATTTATTTAGTTTTTTTTTGACATTTTTATTATGATGACATTTATTTTTATTACCAGCAAATGTCGAGAATAAGTAAACATCAAAACATCATGAAAGATTTAGTCGTAATATGTTTTTAAATAACTCAAGAAGTTTTCACGATTTAAAAGATATTTGAAAGAAATGTATCTCTTAGTCACTCAAAATTCAGGCTTCTAGCTTTATCCATAACGAAGTTATGGGGGGGTGAAAATGCTCTGAATCCCTTCGAGAAAAGGATGGTACTGCCGTGCCCTTTTTTTTGCTCGACTTGGCGGGGGCACTGCCGTGCCCCCCGATACAGGATGGAACAAATGTATGGGACGTGGAAGAAAAGTAGGTACTTTAAATATTGAAGTTATCAAGGTATTTTTAATTGGTTCGATTATCGATCCATCTGTTAAGGTAAGTTTTTTTTTTAAATGCAGTTATTATCCTTTTTTTAACTAAAGGAATGTTTCCTTTGAGTAAAATTTGATAAATTCAATATTTAAGGTACTTTTCTTCCATGCCCCATCGATTTGTTCCACCCTGTGTAATTATAATATTCCGAGTTTCAACGTTATCAACTTAATCGCCAAGTTAATTGAACATTTAACATGTGGACGCTATGTGCATGTACGTATATCCGACAACTTACATTTACCTGACCTGACGTGTACGATTAAATTTGCAGTGTGTAAATAGTGAGTTCAGTTATATTATTAGGTAGGTACTTCTATTACGCGGTCTACTCACATTTAGATAACGACGCCATAATTGTTCCTCCTTATCTATGCCCTTTTGTGTGCGGAAATACTGTAGATATGTACGAATATACCTAATTAATTTTTATGTCTATTTACAATACAGTAGTTATCGAACGATGGATAAGATTATTACTTTTCTTTTTATAAAAAATACTGAACAACTATGGTGATAGATTAGGCGGACTTTGCCATCCGTTTTGTAGTAAAATTATCTATGGTTTAAAAAAAAAAAAACTAAAATGAAAAGTATAAAAATTCCTCTCACACAGATATCGAACCCGCATGCACATTGCAAGCAACATTCGCTCATTATTTCAAGTTAATTAAGCTTTACGTTAATTAATTTGGAATATCTACTAAGTACTTTGCGTCTCTAAGCTAGAATGGTTTAGGAGCGCATAAAAAACGAACTTCCAAAGATTTTCTTTTGAGCCAGGAACTTCCGGATGCGTATATACAAAATATCCCACCAGAATTTTATCACAATCGAATCAATGGTTCAAGGACATATAGAAGACAAACATACGGATATTCATTTTTATTTATATAGATAGATAATAATTTAATCAAATGTTAAAAACCTTGATATTCATTCAAACATTTCAAGAACCTTAAGTTTTATGAATAGCATGCTAACAGCTAAACTCTTACGATTGTGTATACCGATAAGATTATCGATTATAACGTTTGTAGACCTTCGAAAAAATTGTTATCATGAAACAGTCTATTATATATGCATTATGTACTATGTTGTCAAGTCAAAAACCCCTTGTTATTGTGATGGTATACCATGGATATTTTATCACGTTTGTATATTTAAAAAACATGTTTATAAGTTTGAGGAGAAAGAAAATTCTATTCGAACTCATGGCACAATCGTTTTTTTTTTCAGTAAACAAATTATTGTTTTTTTATAGTGTATGACATTTTTTTACTTTTAGAAATGTTTTTTTTTGTTATAAAATGCAGCGCAGTCTTGCGAAAAATATATAAAAAGTAGGTTAATGTTTCCATGGTTTTGTTGTTTTAGTATCGAGGTCGTACATGTTCCACGAGATGTCGCTATTTATGGGAAGAAATTATATTTGGTTTTTTTTTCACTTATTCTCAATTCACTAATTTATTTAAGGTTAAAAGTACAATATACTTAGTATAATTTTATTAAATTAAAATAAAATTAGAAACTAAATGTGAAAACCAATCAAAATCCGTAAATTAAAATATATTTTTCAGTACATTCATTCCATCCCTAAGGATCGAAACCCTCGTTCTATTCGTTCAAATATTGACGTCAACAGTGACGTCCTTCCTAAGTTACATTTACGTTACATTCGCTATACAACTTTTGTGTTTTTTCAGTATTTTCAGTTACTTTCGTTAAAAACATCAATGGGAATGGCTGGGCACCGTTGTAATATATAGATTGTAACGATTTACGTATCAGCTAGTGAATTTTATTGTATTTTTCGTTGTAATGGACGCGACCTTGTGCGATTATGAGGAGGGCGAAATTCCTATATGGCAAGAGCCAAGGTGCGAGCCTCTGGGAGCCCCTAAAGAAACCCTATGTGATGAACTACCACCAGAACAAATATCCGGTGACAGAATACACGCCTTGGAGGAGGAACAAGAGATATTATCGTCTTCCGTTTTTTCTTTGACGTCCCACCTCGCACAAGTTGAATTTAGATTAAGACAAATTTTAAAAGCCCCTCCAGAAGAAAAAGATACTATGTTGCAAGCATTGGAAGAGTTTACGTCTAGAGGAGTTGATTCAAGGGCGGCCCCGCAAGGAAGTGCGGGGGAGTCCTGCAACGAGTGCCTCGAATTGGAGCGAAAAATCCGCAATCAAAAATCAAAGCAGGCACATTTCATTGAAAGACTAAAATCACAGCTGAAAGAACTCGAAAGATACGCTGAAGGATCTTCAAATCCAGATGACGATCAGCACAGGTCATTAATAGAACATTTACGAAGGGAAATAGACCACAGTTTAGAAGAAGGGTGTCATCACCCACTAAGTACTGAAGAGTTACGGCATCAAATCGACTGTGCAGTGCGTCAGTATGCTGAGAGACAACTCTCCAAAGAAGAAATTATTGGAAAACTACAAGCTCACATTGATGATATGCAAAAATTCATAAAGCTTATGAAAAATGAAGACGCGAATCGCACGAAAGCGAAACCTAAGGAGCCGAGAAACATGGGAAAATCGGAATCTTTCGAGAAAAACTTTACTAGTAATAAAGTGAACGACGAACTAAAGGCCGAGACTATTAATTTAATGAGAAAAGCATCTACTTTAATCCAAATATTCACTGTATCCCAATTTGGCTGTTCGCCAAACTCAAATAAAAAGTATGATCGAAAATCCTCAACCATTGTCACTCATTGGGGTAATCTTAGAGCAAAACTGGAAATGTCAATAGATGCTGTACTCCATATAGTCTCTAGGGAAAGATCTCATATTCCTGATTGTTACGACAGTGAAGAAGAAGAAAGTGGTATAGTGATAAATGATGCTCCACTTACAACAGCTGTACGAAGACATCTCGCTGTTAACTTACGGGATTTACTCCAACATGGGCTAGTTAGTCCAGAATCAACATCTTTAGTACCAATAATAGGCTGCTTTCCAGTTAGAAGAACTTCTTCATCCAAGTCATTACATGTATGGGAGTTAATCTTGCGTTATTATGATTTAAATGACGGGGATAAGTTCAATTCAACCCCTGCGAGGAAATTAAGTCAAAGTTTTAATTTAGATATAGTCGGAGGGACAGCTATTACCAATAAACAAAGTCTACTCAGTGCAATTGGCAGTATATTAGCATCCCACACACCGTATAAGAGAAGTTATGATGCTCATTTCAAGGCATTTGTTTGTGCGGCACTAAACTGTCATAAACTTGTGATTTGGTTAAACATAATATTGAAGTGCAGGTCTCTTATAGATTCATCTTATTCTTCAACAAGCTATGTTGTAAATACAGGTTTCCAGGACACTTTACAAAGCTTAGATCGCCTAACTCCATACAATTTTGATTTGCCAGTTGATCTAGCAGTAAAGCAATTTCAGAATATCAAAGATGTTTTTATGTAATATATAAATAAAATGCCTTCCAGTTTAGCTATTTAGTAATTATGATTCTAGTCAGGGGAAAGGTTAGGTTTGAGAATAATGTATAGGAATGTTAAATTGTCATTTGAGTCTTCAAAACTATGTTCTTTTTTTATTTTAGAAAGTGTTTTTATTATATATTTATTAAGGATATCAGTATTAATATATAAAATCTATTTAGTTTTAGTTTTAAATCACAAAATTTAATTTTTTATAAATTTATTGTTTAGCAAAGTACACTTTATTGTTGCAAAGCCTTTGATAAAAGCATACCATAACATTTGATTTGAAACATTTATTCTATTGGCCTATTAATGTTATCAATTATCATAGTTTATTTGTAGTCTAACTTTAAATTTTTATTTTTTCAACCAAATATGTACCAAAAAGTACTAAGATTTAATTTAATTATAAGCTTGTTTTTGATTTGAAATGTATATGTATGCACTAAAATGTAATAAAAATATCAAGATTTTTCTTAATTTATATTTTTCTTAATCTAATCAATAACCATTCATAATAACAAGTATCTCTTTTACTAATAACTTATTTATTTTCATTTCCTACAACCCCTTTAAAGCTTTTATTATGTTTTCCCATTGTAACAATTATTATTTTCATAGTGAAACCTCAGAAAAGCTAACTTCTAAAGCTTAAACTAAGAAGGGGAAAGCAGAGCTTTTTCGAGAAATACGGGTTTTCTATTCATATTTATTTTGTTTTATCATTTATCACATTAGCGACTCAGCCTTGCTTCGCCCGGGTTGCTTCCCCATACAAACCTTCGTTGCCATTTTGATTGAGGGATGATTTCTGAGATAAAAACTATCCTATGTCCTTCCTAGGATCTCAAATTATCTTACCATATTTCATCTAAATAGGTTTTAGTTTCGGACTCTATTCAGTCCTATTCATTCCTCTTTATAATATTAGTATAATATAGATAATCATCCCATACAAAGAAATTGGACAGCGCAGACTAGTTATTTTAAATTTTTGTTTGTTTGAATAGATAATAGTTAAATTGTTTTATTTTATAAATATGTGTATACCAATGTAATAACTAAATATTGTAAAATTCATACTGCATTCGAATAAAAAAAATCTGTGATTTTATCAATTTTTAAACCATGATAATTCATAAACCGTAAAAGCGCCATCTGTGAATGTACTCTACAAACCCATCATCGTAAAATTACTAAAACTTGATTTACGAGCGCCTTATTTTGTTCCCCTATTAGTTAGAATATTTTTTTAAATAATAATACACTTTTTGAAGATTAGCAGTACTATTATATATTTATAATACGTATGTATTTAAAGTTATATTTGTGTAGTGTAACAACTATCTTGTCCATAACACAAGCCTCGTAGCTTACCATGGAACTAGATGGCGCTGTTAACGTCCCAACAAATTTAATACTAGCATTGCCCGCGGCTCCGCCCGCGTTCAGATGACCAAAAACCAAATTCTTAGGTTTTACATATTAGTATACTCTTACAATGCAGTTTTTGTATTTTTTCTCAGAAATGAGATATTTTTTCGCGGTAAAAAGTATCCTATATGTTAACCCGGATTTCATCAAAATCTGTCCACTGGTTTTCTCGTGATGCGGTAACAGACAGACAGACAGACAAAAATTCTAAAAACTATAGATTCGATAGATAGTATTCAATAGATTTTCCAAAAAATACTTAATGTACAGATTCGACTTAGTTACAATTTTATTATATGTATAGATAATATATATATATGCTGATTCATGTTAAAACATAAAAAAACATACATTAAGAATACAATTTATTTAACTGCAATAAATAACATTCCAAAATAAAACAACTTCTCATTTATAGCGCACTTCATATATTTGAAAGTATCAAATAAACTATATATTAGATAATTTAGTAAGACCTTATTTTAAGCATACAGTTTTTATTTGTACATTAATATTATTTATCAATAATTCACAATACTGAAAGTGAAAATATATTAACAATCAGTTATTTCCCTTTCTTTTCAACAAAACAATGTATTGGCCCGAGAGTGAGACTAAAGAACTATATAGATGGAGTCCACCAAAATAAATGTAAAAGTCAAAAATAGTAGCGTGATTTGCTGTTTATGCTACTATATTCGATTTTTCGCAGACAATAGTTTACTTTCTTTAAAGAATAAGGAGAAGTTTATAATATACAATTATTGAGAATAATATAAGAATAATAAAAATAATACTATATGTTTTTGTATTCATTAAACATTATCTTCCCCTTAAAAGAGAGATAATAGTATGTTATTTAATTTTCTTCTTTATTATAATAAAATTCAAATTGTCATTTGTACACTATTTTAAAACTTTAATATACTACTTTAAAACATCGTTGTTTGGCTTCATGTTTAGTTCTATGACACTCTGTCTTTATTATTCTTTAGTCTGAGATATTGGCATAGCAAATGTTATATAACAACCACATCAAAACGTTATAAAATCCCATATAATTGATGTAAAAAAACATAAGTTATCAAAACATGTGTAAAAAATACAAATAAATTACTTTGAAAACAAGAAAACATAATAAATAAATATAACAGCAATATTTAAGTACAATATTAAAGATCTTTTTGTACATTTTACATACAGATCCTAATCAATATCTCAATTAGGTCCTACAAAATTTTCAATATATGTATATAATAAATACATTCAAATATGTTTGTTCGTAACCATAAATGTTAAAAATACTATAAGGACCTCACATTTTTGACATTAGCAGGAATTAGCACAAACCACAACTAAATGTGGTTAAATTACTTTATAGCTTTACTTGGTGTACATTTTACAAGTTTTTATTTAACTTTCAATGTTTGTTTGGTATGTTTGCATGGATCAAATCTTGCAATCTGAAGTTCTTGCTATTATTTAATTAAGAAGCATTTATTGTATAGAGTCATCTTATGTAACATATTTCAAACTTTACTGAAAGTTTTCAAATAACAATCATTTTATAACAAGTAAACAATACTTTCTTAGATTTACGCGAATATTTGACATTTTTAATAAAACTTGTATTTTCGGATGTTTTCGCGGATTCATTTTGATTTTTGGTTCCCGACGTTTGGAATGCTTTACAGCAATCATGGTCATGGGAAAGTCTCTCTCGAAAAAATCCAAACAGATAGTTTTATTTAAAAACACAGAAAAAAAGTGACATTCTCTTTTCTATTAACAATATTTACACAGTTTCAAAAAAATACAAGTCTTTATAGCATTTCAACAGTACATACAAAGCAATAACCACATACAATATATGATTTAATCATGTATAATAATATATAATTCCATAGCTATTTCTTCACATGCACACATTTACTTAGGTCCGAGCATTTCTTCAGGTTTGACCCACTGGTCGAACTGCTCCGCTGTGAGGATGCCTAGTTTGATAGCTGTGTCCTTGAGAGTACCTCCTTCTTTGTGGGCTGTTTTGGCTATTTGGGCGGCCTGGAAAAGAAAATTGGTTAATTATTTAATAATAATTTATTTATTTTTCCCTCATCAATATAGATAAATATAATTGAAATGTCTGTTTGTAATGTCAAAATAACAGCCTTTTACAAAATGCATGTGAAATTATATACGTTACTTATGCGAAAAACGCACTTTTTTTATTTTTTTTTCTGTCTCTCTGTTTGTTTCGGCTAATCTACGAAAAGGATGGACTGATTTTGACGGAACTTTCACTCGCAAATAGTTGATGTTATAAGGAGTAACTTGGCTACTTTTATTTTAGAAAAAAATTAAAATGTACCTAGGGACGATTTTTTTTTATGGAAAATCCTATTGAAATAGTCATTATCATATCGATGATGATTCTGTATCGACAGAAGACCGAATCTATAGTTTTTAGAATTTTTGTCTGTCTGTCATCGCATCACGGAAAAACCATTTTTAAATAAAATATTTCCTTCGAGTGAAACTCCCATCCATGGGTTTAAAAAAAATTATCCAGTCTAACCTTATCGTATCCAATATGGGGATTGAGGGCGGTGACCAGCATGAGGGACTCTCGCATTATCTTGTTGATCTGGTTGGTGTTGGCCTGGATGCCAACCGCACAGTTCTTGTTGAAAGCTTGGCACCCGTCACCTGATAACAGATATGGTTTTATATTTATTATAGTATACTTAGTTCTATTATACCATTTTCTTAAATTTAAGCGAATATTTGACATCTGTACACACCAATCAAAAAAGTAATAGATACACAATCCCATGCAAAAGTTCCCTTAAAACTGTCACCAATTGTGTTTAGGTACCCTAATTATTCTAGTTGAAATAAATATGTAAAAATGTAAATTGAAACTTAAATGCAATACTTAAAGTTTTTTTCAGAAAACAAAATAAAAAAATAAAAGCGCGCTCAAATGTTCAAATGAGCGCTCATTCCGTGAGGAGATTTTTTTGTCGCTGATTGTGTATCTAGTACTTTTTTGATCGATGTCTATACATATAATAAAATTATAACTGAGCCAAACCTATACATTAATATTTTTTAGAAAATCTTATTGAAATAATCATTATTATCGATACAGTGGCCGAATAATATAGTTTTTTGTTGAATATAGTTTTCAAAAAAAAATTGTCTGTCTGTCTGGGAATACATCACGAGAACACCACCAGGCAGATTTTTAATGAAATTTGTTACGGTGATAGCTAGTTTTAAATAAAACTATTTTAGAGATCTAAAATTAACTTCTTAACAAATTTCATCTAAATCGGTTCAGTAGTTTAGGAGCCTATTCGGAACAAACAAACAATCAAATCTTTCCTCTTTATAATATTAGTATAATATGTATAAGTAACATAACCCACCAATAAGCCGTATGGACCTGAGAACGTTGGCCACGATCATGGGTTTGAACACGTTCAGCTCGAAGTGTCCGTTGCTACCCCCGATGGAGCACGCCACGTGGTTGCCCAGCACCTGAGCCGCTATCATAGTGAGTGCCTCGCACTGTGTTGGGTTCACTTTGCCTGGGGAATGGTGTTATATTGTTAATAAAAGAATTGCTTAACCTTTTATTTTATATTAATTTTTGTGCTTGAATATAACAACAGAATAATAATAATAAAATTGGAAGATATCTGTGTGGGATTCACTTTGCCTGGGGTGATATATTGTTAAAAAAGGAATTGCCTTGACCATTCAATATTATTTTTTGTGCTTAAATATAACAAAAAAAATACAACGGAAACCGGTTTAAAATTGGCAAATATCGACTATTGTATGATAAACAAGATATTTTTAAAGGCTTTTCTTGTCAATATTATTTATATTTACTGAGAGATTTATAGAAATCATTTTCTATAAATGCGTACATACATATCGGCAATCCACAATTTATCTCCAAATACCCCAAACAATGATAGGCCCACGCCCAGCAGTGGGATTTTAGAGAGTGTTCAAAGAAATATAATAAAACAGTTACCTTATAGTAATAATATTTTGTTAATTTAATAAGATATATTATAGTACATGTCCTCACCAGGCATGATGGAGGACCCAGGTTCATTCTCCGGCAGCAACAATTCAGCCAAACCACATCGCGGTCCTGACGCCAGTAACCTGTACAAGTACATCAATTACTATCTATATCTATACTAATATTATAAAGAGGTAAATTTTGTGTATTGTGAGTTTGTGACTTTTCGATGTGGTATGGGGTAATCTCTGGATCTACTGAACCGATTTAGATGAAATTTGGTAAGAAGATAGTTTGAGACCCTGGGAAGAACATTGGATACTTATTATCCCGGAAATCATCCCTTAAGGGGGTGAAAATGGGGATGAAAGTTTGTACGGGGAATCAACCTAGGGACGAACCCGAACGAAGCGAGGGTGAGTCACTAGTCTAAGCATATAACAAAATTAAATAATGAAATCGCATAACATACCTCATTATATTCAAAGTCCAATTTTATGATTACAAATAAAAACACCATACAAACCAACCTGATATCATTAGCGATTTTCATCAGAGACACAGCGATGGTGTTCAGAGCCCCAGAAACTTCTACCATGGCGTCGTGACACGCGAGCGCCTCGAACTTGTTTGGCGCGGTCTCGAACGGTATACCTGTTTATTATATAGAATAAAGATTAAATATTTGTCTAAAAACATAAAATATGTTAAATCTTTAGAAACACTAAATTGTATACAACATAGAAATGACAATATTATGTATACTGTTTATGAAAAGTATTAAATCTATATTCTATATTAATATTACAAAGAGAAAAGTTGTATTTTGTTTGTTTGTACTGAATAAACTCCAAAACCACAGAACCGATTAAGATGAAATTTGGTAAGAAGATAGTTTGAGATCCTGGGAAGGACTTAGGATAGTTTTTATCCTGGAAATCATCCCTTAAGGGCGTGAGAATAGGGACGTGCGTCGTTAGTAGCAGTATAAATTATGTAATATTCAATCGGGCGCGCCTCTGCTTCGTCTCATACTGCGCATTCACCCCTCATTTAGACCCATCATTAAGACAACTGTAAGGATTTATATACTGTGGTAGCATTAATCGGTGAGAGAGTATATCTCTTTAGTATACTTATCATATACAGCATAAATGGATAGATGGATAGATAGCAAGACGTCGTACCTTAAAAAGTATTTTGCTATAATTTTACAAACATTTAATTTTTTAAATGTATAAATGTTCTGCTTTATTTCTTTTTGCATTAATACGTATATAAAAATTGTGTATATCAATGTTTTTTTTGGAACGGCTTACCTCTGCTAAAATCTGAACCTTCGCCACTGATAGATAGATAGATAAGCATATCCTACACATACACTATATCAACACTAACCGGTGAGAGCACCAATCTCCTTGGCACATTTCTCAGCGAAACCCTTGCGCGTGTTGAGGCCTGTGCCGACGGCCGTGCCGCCCAGCGCCAGGTAGTGCAGGCGCGGCAGCGTGGCGCACACGCGCTCGATGCCGTACGTGAGCTGGGCGGCGTACCCGCTGAACTCCTGGCCCAGGGTCAGCGGGACTGCGTCCATCAGGTGGGTCCTGGGAGATTAGATAGCTCAGTTTGTAGTGAGTCCCGCTGGGGGCATTCATTTGTGTGATGAGCACGAATGTTTGTACTCCAGTCATGGGTGTTTATAGAGCCGACGCGTATGCACAGACAAACACACGTACGCGTGTAAAGATTACGCTTATACATTGCATAACATTCGTATGATCCATATTATTATATTCCATGACAAAACTTGATACCATCACACGTTCCTGAGAAAAAGGGTCTAAACAGACAGATTGACAGACAAACAATGAAGTGATCCTATAAGGGTTCCTTTTTACCTTTTAAGGTAAGAAAAACCGTAAATATATCTAGTTTAATTTTAACCAACCTCACAAAAAGAGAAAAAAAAACAATTCTTTACTACATATGAATTAACTTACAATTCCTCCAGAACACCACCAACCAAAAACCACAAACACAAACAAACCTGCCAATCTTGATGATCTTGTCGAAATCCTTGGACTTCTTGTCCAGCGTATCCCGGAGCGCCACCAATCCCGGCATCAGTCTATCCCGGAGTTCCATAGCTACGGCGATGTGCATCGCCGTGGGATATGTGTCGTTGGAGCTTTGGGATTTGTTCACGTGATCGTTGGGATGTACGGGATCTTTGCTGCCGAGCTTACCTCCCAAGATTTGGATCGCTCGGTTTGCGATTACCTGTTAAAAGGAAGGGTATCGATAAGGCCTCATTTTCGCGCTAGAATAACGAAAAATATATGGTTTGATATTTTCTTAACATATTCTGAAATAAGACTGTGTGCCTGATAAGAAAATATATTTATGAGAGAGAAAAAAAAACTACAATTAATACTACTCATGAGCCAAACTTTGGTCTAACTGGGGTTTTCGTCCAAAATAAGACATTTTCAGTAACATTACAACTTTTTTTTACATGGCTACCCCATATTCACTTACGAGTACTTCGTCCCTGAATGCCTAACAATAGTCTACCTACGTATTACTCCAGATTATAGTATAGATATAGAGATATAGATAATCTGTGTATTAAATTTCATCCAAAACCGTCCAGCCGTTAGAGCGCGGAGGCATAACAAACATACAGACATACAAACTTAGGCATTTACAATCTTCGTCCGATTTCAAACTCGAGAAAAGCCACATGTTTAGTTTATACCAAACCATACAAACCTCATTAGTGTTCATGTTAGACTGTGTACCGGAACCAGTCTGCCAGATGACCAGAGGGAAGTGACCTTCGCGGTACAACTTACCGGAGATGACGTCATCGCACGCCTGCATAATGGCATCGGCTAGAAAATAAATAAATATATTATGACATTAACGTGTTTGTGATCGCACTCCTCCGAAACGGCTGGACCGATTTTAAGGATTTATGTGTTTTTCATTCTCCTACCCCCACACCTCATTTTTTAATCGCGATTTTATATAGTCATTTTTGTATGAACGTAATCCAAACAATTTAACATTATAAATACATAGGGGCGAACGCGAGCGAAGCGAAGGAGAATCGCTATAATATAGCGATGTTATATATAAGCTATTATATATAGATAAGCTTTATGTTATACCTATATTATAGGTAAAGCAAGATTTTTTTTGTAGATTGAACGCGGGCAAAGCCGCGGGTTCTGCTAATATTGTTATAAGTAATAACATGTTTTATTTATTTATCCTTTCAAGTTAAACAAAAAAGTATTGTAACTATAACGCAATCAGTTTAAAAAAATTATGACCAATTAGGGTTCCGTGACATAAACAATTGGGAACCGCAGATTTACACTAATATTAAGGCGAAGGTAGCCCAGTGATAATTCGCTCATTTTACGCTAATTTTCTCAAAATCCGCTCAGCAGTTTTTGCGTGAAAGAGTAACAAACATACATCCACACAGGATAATATAAGAAGTAAAACAAATGATATTTACCTAGTCTTTTATCCAAGCCAAACTCAATGTTGACTTTAGCAGCCGCCTTCTTCAGAATACCAAAAGCAACGATAACTGGATACTGAAATAAAAAAAAATATTTATTTGTATATATATATATATATATATATATATATATATATATATATATATATATATATATATATATATATGTATTTATTTGTATGTATGAATTCATTTATACTTAAAAACTAAACAAAATACCTACATGAAATTTTTTTTTTGATAACAGGCTAGGCTTAGTCAGGGAACCCATTAAGTTAAGAATACTACAATCTTGTGAGTGGTACACACTATGGCACACATATTGATATATAATTTTGTGGTCACCTTATCAAATATAATCCATATAATATGTAGTTGACTACAATTTCCTCTACGAATACACTACAAATCATAAAAATAACTTTAAGCATTGCATTTAAGGTTCAATTTATTTTATTGTACATTTATTTCAACTAGAATTACCTAAACACGGTGACAATTTTAAGAGAAGTTTTGCATGGGATTGTGTATCTAGTACTTTTTTGATATATATATATATATATATATATATATATATATATATATATATATATATATATATAATACTACGGAACTTGTCAAAATGACTTATATGACCCAAGCTCAAAGGTATTTAGTAGCCATTGGAGAGTTGTGTCTCTAGATCCCTAACAATTACCTAAGTTTTACTTAATTACTCATTCACTTGTCTGTGTACTAAATTGCATTCTATCTAGGTCTACCTGTGTTATTTCCATCTAAATAGGTTCCGCAGTTAAAGTGAAGTTGAAGGAGTAACAAACATACACGCTCACGTCTCACATAAACATACAAACTTTCACATTTATATGTAGGTTATATATATAATAGACCAATAATAATAGATCTATCTACCTATCTGTCTATCAATAGAGACATTGCGTTATTACTATTAGCGTAATTATTTATTGTAATAGTATTTCTAGATAGTAAACTAGCAGACCTTGACACATACAGACATTGCATGAACTATCAGATCATATGATCGCTATACGTTTAGTCGGTAAGAAAATATTTTATATATAACAGTACATAAATGTTTATTTACTTCGGTTTATCAATTCCATTATTTTAAAGTTTTTTTTTTAATATAGGATTTCCTGGGGAGACCCCCTTAATTTTAATTATAGATTAAATCCATATTTACCGATTAACTTTATTTACTTAACATCTATTTTGTAGCAACACAGTAACTAATTGATGTGTTTTAATACAGATATATTGCGAAGAGTCAGGCGGATCACTAGTTCAAAACTAAACAGATTCCGTACAACGAACAAAGTATAAAAACGATAAAGATAAAATCTCGGATTTCTATAAGGAAGCTCTGGGCCATTATAAATTAATTTCGATATCGTCTGAGAAAAATACGAGTAGGTGAAATGAAAAGTTTGAGTAACTCGAATCTCTCTAGAGGTTAGAGCAATCGCACTATCACGCGGGAGAGGTTATAGCGGATTCGATTTCCCTTGACTTATTCTTTTATATTTCAATTTTAAATTGTGCGTACTATATCATATATATACATATTTCTCATAGATACTTTAAAGCCATATTACTCATTTTAACTTAATTTTTCCATTTAAATTAAAATATATGTAAAATAAAAGTAATTTATCTTCACAAAACATTATATAAGCTAAAAGCAAAATAAAAACCCAATTAACACATTATAATCACTAGCAATATGAAGACGTGAACAATGGGACGATTTGACGTTTTTAATGATTGCATACTACATAGCCATAGATCACTTTACTAAGTATAACTAATTCCTTTGACTTTAGCCAGATCTTAAAAAAAAATACATAATAAGTAAAACTGCTATATGATCTGATATAAATTATAAATGTATTATCATACTAAATAAACATTTTTAATATAAACATCTTCATTAAGGAGTTAACAGAAAAGACGTGAGAATAATATCTGTTATCTAATAATTGTTCTTTCAACACATCTACGTTTTCAACTATTTAAATATACGGCCACTGTGGAAATAAATCTTCGAGAAAATTCGTTAAAACTAAGAAATAAGTATAACTTTTAGATTTATGTAGCGTTTGTTGCTATACAAAACTTTTAAAACAGCTAAAACTCAACAGATTTTTATCCGACTGCAAGGAAAGGGTTACCCGTACATAATAAAATCATTAAAGTTATTAGATAATACTTTCTTTATATTTGACATTTTAAATAATACTATTTTTTCGGATTTTTTCGTGAATTTATTTTAACTTTATTTTTACCTTTGAGACGTCTAAAAACTTAAAAGTCTCTCCCGTGAACACGATTGCTGTAAAGCATTCGAAACGTCGGAAGCCAAAAATCGGAATAAATCAGCGAAAATATCCGAAAATATAGTTTTATTTAAAAGTTACTCAATTCTATTCTATTATGCCAACCGACATGTTTAATTCACTTAAAACTCTAAACAATAAGTAGGTACTAACCGGCATCCGCTCTTCAATGCCTCCGATGGGGAAATTCATAACAGACCGTACGGTCTGTGCACCATACAACTTGTCGTCTGGTACATCGAGTTCACCGAAAGTATCACGTTCTTTCCGCTGAAAATATGAAAATTATTATGTTATTTAAAAAATATGAATTAAATATACAATTAGGAATTTACAAATAATATATTAAAACTACTACTTTTAACGTTTAGTATAGATTTCTCTAAGATGAAGTATTTTCCTACAAAAAAAGGAACCTATACGTTGACCCGGATAACCAGCTATTACCATACCAAATTTCATCAAAATCTGTTCAGTAGTTTTTTCGTGATGCGGTAACAGACAGACAGACAGACAGACAAAAATTCTAAAAATTATAGATTTGGCCTCTGTATCGAAAAAAATGACTATTTCAATAAGATTTTCCAAAAAATATTTAATGTACAGATTCAGCTTAGTTGGAATTTTATTGTATGTATAAATGTCTTCTGGAAATCTTTAATTAGAATTTGTGCTTCGCATTGTAGCGCTCCCATATAAATCTGGGATCATCATCATACACACTGTTATACTTATAATATACAGTGGTTCACTATATTTTAAATCCTTATGATAATCTTCATTATGAATGAACCATCCCGTTCGTCTTATCCAACCCTCTCATCAAAGATTGTCTCATATTTTGTTTTTAGCAATAAGATGTTCCTATGTCTATACTAATATTATAAAGAGATAAAGTTTGTGAGTTTGTGACGTTGTAGGGGATAATCTCTGGATCTACTGAACCGATTTAGATGAAATTTGGTAAGAAGATAGTTGAGAGTTGAGATTCCCAGGGGGAATGACGTAGGATAGTTTATTCCCCGGAAATCATCCCTCAAGGGAGTGAAAAGGGGAATGAAAATTTGTATGGGGAAGCAAGCTAGGGGAGAACCCGAGCGAAGCGAGGGTGAGTCGCTAGTATTGTATATATAGTGAATGCGATGAAAAATAAAAGAAAAGAGAAATGGTTACAACTGTTAAATTACTAAATTCTTAGCTAAGCTACTAACCAATATTACGAGAAAAGAAAGTATAAGTTTTAAGTATTCTGAACGATAAATCAGATCGTGATCTAAATATTAAGTATACAAAACTAGTTTTAAAAATTAAGTTTCGCCAAACTTATTTGGCTAGTTATCACTGGAATATAATACCTATATGTAATGCTCTTTCGGTATGGATAAAAGGTTCGCAGCTTTTTATATTATACTTGAATATTTAGTGCCAATATTAAAAAACTAATTTTTCAAAAAATAAAGCAAAAAAATAGTAATGCAAAGCCGACTATTATACATAAAACTTGATGTAATAACTTTATTTTATTCTCTTATCTTTAAATGTCATGATCCCTCTAAGATAACTTGTTTGGCACAAATTTACATCATATTATGTCAACAGTAACACGCTGTAATTTGACCACAAATAACAAAACCCAACTTAAAAAACAAAGTTAGTCAGTATTTTCATTAATTTTGTGTAGGTATCATCGTCAAAACGTAATAAATATCGATTATTCACATCGATTTCCTTCAAACATTGACTTCGAAGTATCGATTATGTAAATTTATACCAACATTTTAATGTCATTATGGGCTTATAAATATTTAATTCGACACATCTGACTTACCATTTTCACGGGCTTGCTTTGGTCATTCAAACAAACTGTACACGCCATTTTACACGGTTAATTTAGAAACCCGAAAAAAAACACTATACAACTTAAAAATCTCGCAAAAAAATTTAACGTTAAAATTTTGACAAATTACCACAGACAAATAAAGGTTCTTTAAAAACTTTAATTATAAACTATAGCCAGTATGTTATTCGGAAATAAAGGAGCAAAAAGTATGTATAGGGAGCTTATAAATACAATCACTAAACAAGTTTTGCCACGTTGGTCGATACAACGACCGTCCCCTCCATGCAGACTTCGGAATCAAACTGAGACTGACAGTGCTAACGTTATTCATATACCGTTTTTATTACGACAATGATAATTTAAATCATTCGTAACGACACCGATACGACACGGGATACGTGATAAATTATAAATAGCTACTTAGAAAATTCTTCTCATAAGCTTCTTAAAAAGATTCTGCATTAGATCTAAAAAAATATAGAAACGTCTTAGTATAACGGAGGAATGTGATGTATTAAAATAATATTCATGTTAAGCAATCAAATTTTAAAAAAAAGTCTAAGCTCGAGCTTTTACCCGACTGCGGCGAAGCCTAAAGGAGGGTTGTGTTTTTGCTTATATAATAGAGTTAAGCCACATTTATTGGCCGTGGATTTATGTAAGTACACAAATAAATAGATCAACATAAGATTTGAATTGAATTTTCCATATGTCGTTAATTGTAAAACCAATAGAACGTGTGGGTGACTGATTTGCACCGCGGTTTCTTGCTTGATACGTTATCAACCCGCATTTGATAAATATTGTAAATTGAGGTTTAAACAAATTGTGTTAACTGTATGATAGGAATGAAAACAAAACTGTAGTCTAATAAAACGATAAACAAATGTCTATCGTATAGATATTTTCTATATATCATATACTAGCGACTCACCCTCGCTCCGCTCGGGTTCGTCCATAGTTTTCATGTTTAGTATAGATTTATCAGAGATGAGATATTTACACGCAGTAAAAAGTATTCTATATGTTGACCCGAATAACTAGCTAACATCATATCAAATTTCATCATTGACAAACAGACCGACAGACAGACAAAAATTCTAAAAACTATAAATTCGGCTTGTGTATCGATAATAAATTAGACTATATCAATAAGATTTTGCAAAAAATGTTTAATGTACAGATTCGACTTGGTTACAATTTTATTATATCTAATATATATTTATACCGGCGATCTCAGAAACGGCACTAAGGGCGCGTACACATAGAACGTCCGATTTTACAGGATCCTTTTTAACTGATCCGTCGCTGGAGGTAATATTCACACAGCATTTACAGGACCGATTTTATTCAGTGTATCGCCTACTTTCTACGACGATGGACGTTGTCGTGTTGTATTGGTACTATGTCGTCTGCGTCGGAGGAAGCCCCAGCGTTATTGGACACATCCATTTTTGCAAAGATTTTGTCGAGGTGCTCTTGTGCGTCAGCTGCAATAACACGAATCTAAATTTTTTACTTATTTCCGAATGACGACATCTACTTTTGATGACCTTCTTAAAAGATTAGAAAAGGATTTAAAAAAGAAAGACTCAAACTGGAGGAAAACCCCCGCACCCCTGTACCAAGCCTCGCTCGGTTTCGATCCGATAAAACGGGTTAGTATTTCCGTTGTGTGTGAGATTTTTTACTGGATCCGTAATACTGTCATGTGTGTTAACTGGCTCATACAACTACATACGCTAATAACATATACGTTTAAGAGGATTGTGAAGTGCCGATACGCGGCGAGAGTAGGTATTTTTAAAAATGCTATCTGTTTCATACCGCTTTGCATCCCCCCGGCAGTGAACAACACAAATACAACATACGCAAATTCTCACACACACTATGATAGCAGCAGCCGGTGACGCGCGGGCGCTTGCGGGGGGCGGGGCGGGGGCGGCGCGACTCGGCGCAAGAGCAATTTCAAAGTTTATCTAATATCTACGGTTTGCGTACAATATACATTCCCTACAAGTTACATCGCACCTTTATTCATAAACTGAAATAACTCTAAATTACAATTTTGTGGCGAATATCATTTAAAATTTGACTTGTTTAGATTGATGACTTCAAAACATCATAGAAAAATAAATAGGTGATTTAGATCAATTACAAAAAGCTCGTTCCAAAAGTTGAAAGTTTTAGAATTTTTTGTTGTTTATGTACTAATAGACCCATCGGAATCCTTTTATTTTTAAAATAATTTATTTATTGCAAACCTGAAGTTTTATGATTTTAAAATGTTAGCAGGTATATAAGGAATAGAAATTCATAAAATGACCTGATCATGAATGATGATGATTTACGATTTTTTAACAAATCTATGACTAAATTTTATAAAATATATCAACTTAATTTTTTAAAATATATTTTTAACTAATGAATAAACAAGATTAGATTACGAATGAATTTCATTTCTTTTTGTAATTGTCCTAAAATCATTTTTTTTCAGAAAAATCAATAAAATTAACTGCAAAAACTAATAAAATATCGATAAATTCGAAAAAAATATAACGAATAGTATGTGTATATTTATAAATATACATATGCTATTCGTAATATTTTTTTAAAATTATAACGAATATTATAAATTATAACGAATATAAAATTAAAAATATAAATTTTACAAAAATAAAAGTATTTTTAATGCTCCTTCTAAACGGTAGTAGTCCAGCAATTAGCAAAAGAAAGCGTGTGACCGATGGAGGGCGAAGGGTGGAGGGGTGTAGGAAGACCCTTACTCATTTAAACTTATACAAACAAATATCTCGAAAACTTTGAGGTTATCGTAGAAAGTGTTATTTATCAAAGTTGTAGATTTTTACTAGACCCTTTACATTTGTAGAAAATATTTTTCGATAGAACGTCACAGTGAGCCGGAAATTGAAAAAAACTATTTTTCAACGCTTTGCGTCCTCCCATTTCTCGAGTGTAGCTGGACAGATGGGGCATTTTACGAATTTCTAATCCTTATATACCTGCTAACATTTGAAAATTATAAAACTTCAGGTTTTCAATATATTGTTGTCAAATTCCGATTGGACTATAATACTAGTATACATACCAAATTTTAGCTTTCTAGGACTTCAGGAAGTACCCTAAGAGTTTTGATGATCATCAGTGAGTCAGTGACGAAATCGGAGTTTTTTAGATATCAATAAAATCTAATGTAAAAGAGCTATGCAATTGAAACTTTTTATGTTTAGCTAGCATTGCCCGCGGCTCCGCCCGCGCTCATATGACCAAAAACAAATTCGTAGGTTTTACATATTAGTATATTCGTACATTGCAGTTTTGTATTTTTTCTCAGAAATGAGATATTTTCCCGCGGTAATCCTATATGTTGATCCGGATACCACCACCAGCTACCACCACACCAAATTTCATCAAAATCTCTCCAGTGGTTTTTCTGTGACGTGGTAACAGACAGACAGACATACAGACAGACAAAAATTCAAAAAACTATAGATTCGGCCTCTGTATCGATAATAATGTTTATTTCAATAATATTTTCCAAAAAATATTTAATGTACAGATACGGCTTAGTTACAATCTATACATACCGAGTATAATAAAATTCTAAACTTTGGATTGAATCCTTTCAGTATCGATCGATATATCGATATTACCTTCTCCTCCCTAGGAGATAATAATATCGATAGCACCTTCAACATCACTACAGTCTAAAATATGCCCCTGCCCCCGACCCGTATGGTGCGATAGAGAGAGTTGCAAGTCTTAGACTCAATTACCTACATTTCCTTTTTGAAATATTGTTTCGGGCGATAACGTTTTCACCCCCCTAAACATTAACGAAATGAGACGATTTTGGTCTCATTAGATTCAGTACACCTTAATCTAGGTCTGTACGTTTTCCTTTTTTTGTAATTCAGTTTAGTTTAATTTAAAAAAATAAAAACGCTGGAGGAAGTTTTTAGGTCAAAAATATAGATATTTAGATGCTAATAACTTCTGTCGTACGCAATATTTCAAAAAAATAAAAACGTACGGACCTAGATTTTGATTATATCTACAACATTTCCAAAAATTATGAAAATTAGACTATGTTTAAGGGGGGAAAAACGTTATCGCTTTTTGTATGAAAATTTACAGGTTCACAATCCTCTTAAACGGACCTGTAAAACAGACGTTCTATGTGTACGCGCCCTAACGATTTCGCTGAAATTTGGTATGTGGAGGTTTCCGGGGGCGAAAAATCGATCGAGATTAATCTTATGTCTGAGAAAACGCGTGTTTTCGAGTTCTCATGCGGTTTTCTTTCGCATTATTCCTGGGCAAATATTTCGCACGCTCGGGGATAAGCAGCGTGGTCAACCGGCCAAGGCGCAAGATTGACAATCACAGGTGTCCGGGTTCGATCCGGTCGGATACAAAGTTTTTACTTTTTTTTCTTTTTTTGGATTTATTCAAGTTGGAGCAACCCCATGGTTGTGGTGGTCTTCTTAGGCAGACCTGCCGTCGGGGCGTCGTAGTTGAATGCGCAAGCGATCCTGCGACGCCCCATTAAGACGGGGGAAGGTTTTGTTGGGTTTTAGTGGGTAGTACTGGCTGTATTACGCCGGTGAGTCCCACACGTCGTGCGTAAATGCATTTCCCAACGTTAAAAAAAAGGCACTGTACCTATAGAGTAAATGGGATCTATCTTATAATAATATAGATATCTTTACTTAAATCTTTCGAAAAGTATAAACCTACCTTTAATTTGCTTATAGGATACAATGTAATAAAACGCAAATAAATTTTTTTTAGATTTACAAGAATATTTAACATTTTTAATAAAACTATCTTTTCGGATTTTTTTGCGTATTTATTTTGATTTTCAATACCCCACGTTTTGAATGTTTTACAAAATCAAAAATCTAAATAAATCAGCGCAAATTTATTTTAAGTCAAATAAAGTTATTAGAATTTTTATAACTTTATTCACTCTAGTATTAGAATGGCTGGACTTGGTTTTATTTGTTTTTTTTTTTAATTATATGGATAGCTAAGTTTCACTTTAATCGGTTAAGTATATTCAAAAATAATATTGGGCCTTCACGTCGCACCTACTCTATACTAATTACTAAGCGTATAAATACACTTGCGAGTTGTGACCGACAGCCACGCAGACAGTAGCTATGTAATAAGATTAGGTTTTGTCTTTGTTGTTGGATAATTTGGATGTAACAAAATCTTAATCACTAATTACTATTTTTTCATTAAATTTTTTGACCAATCAGAGTTCGAAGTTGAAGTGCGAATAAGAACAAAAAAAAGTTTCGTTTTATTTGGCTGAGGAAAGCTAAAAGTGCAATCTGAGCCCTCGTTCTAAAATCTCCCTTGCGACACGAAATCAATTTAAATTGACCAATAGAAACACATAAGCGGCCTGAGTATGTATTTAATTCTCAAACTTATTATGATTTGCAATTTCTTATTAAGTTTTTTTTGTGTTAGGTCAATCTATATAATCTGTAAAAAAAAAAACAATTTTTCACAAATTTATTTTTATTTAATCAACACAAAAAAAAATTCGGAATGTATAGAATCTATACAGATTATTATCATTATATTACAAAGAACAAAATATTTATTTTTAAAGATCTTAAAACTACCGATCATGTCTTTCTCAGAGAAGACTCATTACTTGGCTCGCTAAAACCTGCCTACACTGGCCCTCATAAAGTGCTCTCCAGAAACGACAGTCTTCAAATTACTAATAAATAGAAGAGAAGTTACAACCTCAATAGATTGTCTAAAGCCCGCACATTTGCTGACTGACAAACTTCAACCTGTCCCTAACTATAAGACAGTGATGCAAAGTCTTATAGGACACGTTCGGGACGTCACGTTAGACTCTTGACAAACGCTGGAAAGGGGGTGATGTAAGCACAAATATATTTTTTATTAACCTTTTTATAAATTACATTTGTGACAATAAAATTAAAGTGTCTGTTTGTAGTCTCGAAATAAAAGATTTTTACTAAATACATATGAAATTATATTTGTACAGTACTGATAAGAAAAACAAGATTTTTAATTTTTTTGTCTGTGTGCCTGTGTGTTCCGGCTAATCACTGAAACGGCTGGACTGATTTCGACGAGTTTCATTGGCAGATATCTGATGTTATAAGTAGTAACTTAGGCTACTTTAATTTTAGAAAAAGAATTAGGGTTCTGCTCAAAAAAATTAAAACATGTCTAGGGAAAAGCACCCAGCAAAGCGAAGGAGTAAGTAAGTCACTAATATAATTTTGTAACCAAAACTGAAAATGGAAACCTTATAATATTGTCTGACACAGCCTTTTTAATTGGAGATTATTGATACTATTTTGGGCTATATTGGTGGACTATATTGGGCTAAAAATTTCAAAAACTGGTCTAAAAAATTGCTAAACAAAAACATACCCATATTACAAAAAAAAATGAGATATATAATTTTTATTTTTAATTCCTAATTAAAACCATCTCACGAATCAATATAGGTAACACGTGAAAGTAAAAAAAATAATGAGGGTTTTTCTATCAAATATCTGTATCGAGGTCAGACACAATGCGGGTAATAAATATTTTCACTATCAACATTATCTGAGAGTATTTATACCGTATTTTGTATTGTAGTAATCATTTGCTTTCAAATGGCTAATTAGTGAACTATCATCAACAAAGGCCATAATGTTAGAGAGTACCAAGCACTATATTATTCATTTTTATTAACAAGCAATTTAGGATACACCACAAATGATGTTTGTATTCAATGCGGTGGAAAAGAGGTAGCAAAATATAATTTAAGGGAATTGAATGGGAAAAAAATGAACCCTACTTGCTGTACCAGCGATCATGGGTTCGAGCCCCCCTGGGGGCATCCATTTGTGTCATGAGCATGAATGTTTATACTACAGTCATGGGTGTTTATATTTATGTTTATGATATGTGTGTATTTAGTTATATATGTGTAGTGTATCAACTATTATAATACAATAATGGAATAGCTGAAAAGTTGTGTTATCTTGAGAGCTTATAAGAGACAAAATGTTAATTTATAAGATAATGAATTATTTACACCTCCTTCCTAAACTAATCAAAATATTAATATAATTATATATTTGAAAATATTTAACTTTTTAACTTCTTTTTAAATGTATATATTTCTATTTTGTATTTATTAACCGACTTCCCAAACACAGGAGGAGGTTCTCAATTTGTCGGAATCTTTTTTTTATGTATGTTCACCGATTACTCGAAGACGAATTTTTTTTTGTTTCATAGGGTCTTCCCAGGTGGTCCCATATAAATTTTACCAAAATCGGCCGAGCGTTTTTTTTTAAAAACAACAATAAAAATGTTTTTAAAATAAATTATTTAACAGAATATGTTATTAAAAAACTTTCTTCTTACAAATTACCTGCTTATTACATCTACACTAGAAATGGAAAAATAAAAACTTAAAAAAAAAATATTAACAGACTTCCAGGCACTAAAATGTAAAAAATAACTAAACGGAAGTTTTCATTTAGAATAGATAATCAGACATTTTCGAAGTCTGTGCCAGCTGATGCAAAGCAAATCTAATATATTTCGATACGTAAAACACATATTTACCTATTAGATATTCATATCTTAAAATATTGTCGGCTGGCACAGACTTCTAAAATATCTGATTAGGTATCTATTCCAAATGAAAACCACTGTTTAGTTATTTTTTACATTTTAGTGCCTGGAAGTCGGTTTTTTTTTTGTCTATATAAAAAGACAGTGTACATGAATCTTTCTAAAATGCCAATATGGACCATCAAGTTGCTAATCCCATAATCTGTCAATCATTTGGCCTGTCAATATACCTAGACTTACTAACTACTTTGAGATTTGAAGACTTGTTTAAGGATGTTTATAATTGTGTGAAAAGAAGTAAAATAATGTCAAATACATTTCTTTCATTATAATTGTTAAAGTATGACATTATAAATATTTTAATCCACAACAGCACATCCTAGTCTATTTCTACAATAATGGTTAAAAAAATAATATTTAAAGATGTAAAGACTAAAAATATCAATCAGTAAAAAAATGTGAACATTAAATACTAAAATTAACGATTTATTCTGATCAGTACATCTGTACTTTCAATATTTTGGCACAATTCAAGCTGTGAAAGATCAAAGAACCGGTTATGCAACTTACCTTCGTAACATTTGTTGTGGAGATATTACTTTTGTTAATAAGTCCTACGACGCATCGATAATTCTTAGTTGAATTTATTAGCGCGGAGGATAACTTAAACATACTTGTAGCCATTATTTTTTTTAATATTAAATTATTTTAACCCAACACCAAGTAAATACTCCTGTCAATAAATAATAGACAGTCGGCGAATGCCGAATGGTCACCTGTCGGCTGTCAAACAAGTAAGTTTGTCTATGGACTATTACTAGTACAGTAGAATCAAGAATTAAAGTTTATATTTTTTTAAGTTTATAAATGTTAGAAACATAAGTTTTAATCCAGCCAAGTTTAAGAGAGAAGGTATATATCTAATTTCTTAATTTTATCTGATAAAATATAAGTAAAATACATTACTTAATCTTAATTAAATTCATAAAGAACATTACCATTTAAGCTGAAATATTATGTATAATAGTGTAAATATTTTAAACTAAACATAGATACTTGTAAACTATATTAGAATAAGTAGTTATAATTAGAGGTACTAGTATTATTAGTGGTATACATGTCTTAAGGGAACGATGGGACTGACATTTAGCTCTGGTGCTAAGAAGTCCCTAAATAAAAATAGATAAAAAAAATAAAAAAAATAGATATTTATTTATTGTTTAGAATTGAATTTTAAAGTATTGGTCATATTTGTGATTGAAGGAAATAATGTTACTAATCGTATTGATTTTTGTGTGGCATAAATATACATATTATGTACACCAAATGTTTTAATCATACACATTTAGTACATATATATAATCCATACATATAATAAAATTGTAACTAAACCGAATATGTACATTGTATTGTACATTAAATATTTTTTGGAAAATCTTATTAAAATAGACATTATTATCGATACAGAGGTCGGATTTATAATTTTTAGAATTTTTGTCTTCCTGTCTTCCTGTCTTTCTGTCTGTCTGTCTGGGAACACATGACAAGAAAATCACTTTTTACTGCGGAAAAATATCTCATCTCTAAGAAATATATACTAAACGTTAAACGTGAGTAGGGACAAACTCGAGTGGAACGAGTGTGAGTGGCTAGTGTGATAATATATTTAAATTATTATTAAAAAATAAATGTTATTACAATTAGATGTAAATTTGACATATTCAAACAAATAGGATTATATGGATTTTACATGTCACTACTTTACATTAAATTACCATTACAAGAATGTAGCTTTTTACTAGTCTAGTGATTTTATTATAGGCTAGCGGCTCACCCTCGCTTCGCTAGAGTTTGTCTCTAGGTACGTTTTAAATAGATATAAATAATTATTAGTCAGCGTTAGCCATGTACTCAAATTAAAAAAAAAATGGTGAATTTTTTGATGTTTTAATAGTTATTCTACTGTTCGGGGCTTAGACAAATCCAACAAATTAAAAACTATGAAAATTGGTCTAGCAGTTCTCGAGTTATAAGTGTTGTAACTTGTAACAAACCCGACTAGGTTTTATATAATTAAATAGATCATCAAACATGTAGATGTAGCTTTATATTTTAACCATAGACTAATAGTTGTGTAAAAAGATGTCATTTATTTTGAAAATTCTTAACTATAGAAAATTATCTTATAACAATTTTCTTATACACTAAAAATATTTATTGAAACTATTTCACCAAAAAAATATAAATAAAAGAATAGCATTGTAATCTGTTATATGATTTCAGAACGAAATTAACGATAGTGCTGCTCCAAGCGGCACGAAATAAAATTAATTTTCTGACTCGGGCGTTATCGGCTCTGCTCGGTTCAGTCACGCCTAGACTCGTTCGAAAAGCGAAACCGAAGTCATTCCATGGCGATGTACGAAGACTGATGCTCTTGTCGTGGACTCCTTGTGCAAACGGGCTTCATTGCATACTAAACCGAGAATAGCAACCAAAAACAAGTTATTTATTAGAATGTGAAAAGTCTTTTATTGTGGTGATAGTGTTTTCGTTAAATATTAACAGTGATTATACAAAGAATATTGTGAAGTGGTGCAAGTGTTTAGCAACTCTTTTCCCAACTGGTCTAGGATTCTTAAGGATTGTACCTCATAAGAGATTATTATTATAAACGGTAAGTTTTATTTCCGTTTTATACTGTAATATATTAAAAGTTGGTGGCGTTTATTTAAATGGCTTCCGTCTATCGACTCGCGTGCGCGGTAATGGCTGACATTCTTTTCTCCGTTCTCCAGTGATAAATGTTTTATCAAATTCGTAAAATGTTATTGTTTAAAAGTATTTGTTATCAATTATTGAAGATGTAGTAGTATTTTGGTGTCGGTCCGCGTGCGTAGGAGGTAGATTAGGTCGAGTGGGTGGTGGCAGGGAATGCAATCAACAAGAACGACCGGTCGCGGTCGTGCGGTATAGCGTTGAGTCTCCGTTCGGGTTATCGAATCATTTTATCGAGCGCTTTACCATTTTTATGACTCGAGTAAAAGCGGTACATGCATTCATTGATTCAAGAACATAGATTTTTAGTGTAAACCCAATTCTACTGTAATAAAATGTAGGTTACTTTTAATTGAAACAATTGTTGACATGTTTACAATGTGTGAAGTGGAAAGAAAGCCGTTGATTAAAAGCGGATCGATCGAGCCCCGCCGGGCTAACACATAATGTTTGTTGTTACAGGTCTCTGCCAGAGCCTACATCACGGTCCCCGCATTATGAAAGTGCGCTATACATGCATATGATCAAGTAGAGATAGAAATATCGAAGCCCGTCCGTTCATTTCCGTCATGGCTATTCTGTAAGTATCTTCGATGTCGTCGATGTATTGAGTTGTTTCGATATGATTTGTTTCCTTTTATTTACCGTTACGCTACCACGTTCACTCCCTCGTATGAACAGCATGCCAATTTGTATAATTTTTTGTTAGTCCCTTTATGATGCTGAGGCTTTCGTCGGCGTATTACTTACTATTGATTATGATCAGTTACACTGACCGCGTCGGGGCGGCCGGTGCCCGTTCATTCCTAGTACTAACCTATTTTTGTACGCGGCGATAGAAAAACATCCGTTGCACAGGTTGATACATCATTTAATTTTTATTTACGTACTTGCAAGACATTGTTTCCATGTGTCAAGAGTTTTATACGGTTTAAACCGTTCGAACATCATTATCCACCGATAGTTGGGCGGCTTTGAAGCTAATTTAAAATAGGTTGGTACTTGTCATCGACGGGGAGACGGGTCACCGTGCGTCCCCGCTTCGGCAATACGATCCAATCGCACTGGACCTCTCGACGCTTGTATTTATTAAGATTAGGTGTATGGGGGTGTATGGGTTATAGAAGAGAGTATGAGCGGTGCGGTGCGATAGGTTCGCGACAGTGGCTGAGCGGGTATATCGCGTTCCAGATGGAGGGGTGGGTGTCTTCGCGGGAGACAACGGTAGGCCACATGCGCCCGCGCCATGTGGCGCGTACTGCTGGCTCTAGGGGCCGCGTGCGGCTTCGCGCGCGCTTCCCAGGACGTGGTATGCACTTTCTCCGACTCGACCACCCCCACCTCCCTCTTCAACCACCTAGTCGTCGATCGCAACACGGGGCGCGTCTACATCGGCGCCCTCAACCGAATATACCAGCTGTCCCCGGACCTCGAGGTCGCGCAGAAGATCAACACCGGACCAGTGAACGACTCGGCGCAATGCACCTTCGATTGCCCGCCCAATTTCGTTAAGAAACCGACGGACAATGTGAATAAGGCGCTTGTAATCGATTATGCGACGAGCCGCCTCATAACGTGCGGCTCTGTGCTCCAAGGGTTGTGTTCTGTGCGCAATCTGAACAATATATCTCATGACGTGCGCGACGTACGTGAACCGGTTGTGGCGAACAATGCCAGCGCATCCACCGTAGCGTTTATCGCGCCAGGGCCTCCCAATCCACCGATGACGCAAGTTATGTATGTGGGAGTCACTTTTACTGGGAACTCACCTTATCGTTCTGAAGTGCCTACCGTTAGCAGCCGGTCCCTTGAAGACGATAGACTTTTTATGATAGCGAGGACGGCTGTCACTACTGGGACTCGAATGTTTGTGAATTCGTTATCTAGAGAACGTTATCCTATTAATTATGTGTACGGCTTTAGTTCGGAAGGATTTAGCTACTTTTTAACGACGCAGCTACGAGGCGTTGGTTCGGATACGTATTATAGTAAGTTAGTACGTGTATGTCATGACGACGAAAATTATTATTCGTATACTGAGATTCCTATGTCGTGTATGGGTGAAGGAGGCGGAAACTTTGGATACAATCTCGTTCAAGCTGCATTCGTTGGGAAAGCCGGCTCGGTGTTGGCCGGTGAACTCGGAATAACCGCACAACACGATGTTCTCTTTGCAGCATTCAGTCAGAGTGATACTATTAATACCAATACGCCCTCAAACTTATCGGCCCTATGCGTTTATTCACTTAAAGCTATTCGGCGCAAGTTTATGCAGAATATAAAGACATGTTTCAGTGGAAACGGTTCACGAGGATTGGATTTTATTTCGCCGTCTCATGCTTGTATTGGGACTAAGTTGCAATCAATAAGTGAAGATTTCTGCGGGCTTGATGTGAATACTCCTTTGGGAGGTGAACAGCCAGTAGAGGCTGTACCAGTTATTGTATTTAAGAAGGAGAGGCTGACCGCTGTGGCCGCGACTGCCACGGGCGATTACACTGTCGTATTCGCCGGCACTGCTGAGGGTCATCTTAAGAAAATAGTTGTAGAAAGCGCTACTTCAGCTTTTGAATACGGAGATATTGTAGTTGATGAAAGTTCTCCAGTCAATAAAGACTTGTTCTTCGATACTCAATTAATGCATTTATATGTAATGACTGAACGTAAAGTGTCTAAAGTTAAAGTTCAAGAATGTAGTGTTTATAAATCATGCTTAACATGTCTCGGAGCCAAAGACCCATATTGCGGCTGGTGTTCGCTTGATAATAAATGCAGTCTACGATCTGATTGCCAAGATGCAGCGAAAGATCCGCTATATTGGATTTCCTATCGCAGCGGACGCTGTACGACCATCACCCAAGTGACACCCAATCAATTGCAACGAACTACTGCAAGGACTCTAGATTTAGTTATTGAAAATTTACCCACACTCAATGGACAACAATTTTTGTGTGCATTTACAGCTTTAGATCGTACTCTTATAACTAATGCAACGAGAAAAACGTACGGGGTTAATTGTACTACACCGCGTACAGATACTCTCCCACCAATACCTACTGGTCAGCATCATTTTACAGCCAAATTGTCCGTGCGAACTACTCAGGGACCTGATTTTGTAGCCACTAATTTTACCTTTTTTGATTGTAATACGTACAGCTCGTGCACTCAATGTGTCAGTTCGTCTTTCCCTTGCGATTGGTGTGTAGACGGTCACCGTTGTACTCATGATACAGCGGAAAATTGCCGAAACGATATTCTTGTAACCGGCGTAAGTAGAATAGGGCCTAGCTATCGCTCTGGACCCGGATTTTGTCCGACGATAAATTCCACATCCGATGGCACTAACGAAATTTTAGTACCATCCGGTGTGAAAAAAGCTATCAAAGTCAAAGTTCACATTATCGGTCAGTTCATAGTTCAGACGAGATTCGTGTGTCAGTTCAATATAGAGGGTCGGGTCACTCATGTCAATGCTCAACTTCTCGCTGATACAATTTACTGCGAAGCCGTAGAATTTACGTATACATCCCGCGCACCTAATATAACCGCATCGTTCGCTGTTATTTGGGGAGGTTCCAAACCGTTAGATAATCCGGATAATACTCACATTCTCATTTATCGTTGTAACGATATGGCAGATAATTGTGGTATTTGTTTAGCTTTGCCTGAAAAGTTTGGATGTGGTTGGTGTCAAGGTTCAGATCGATGCGAGGTTCAGGAACAGTGCGACGCACCTAGTGTATGGTTAAATAGAACCCAAACCTGTCCTAATCCTGAAATTCATTCGTTTAAACCACAGTTAGGGCCTTGGGATGGCGGTACTAATATTACTATCGAAGGTATAAATCTAGGTAGAAATATATCAGATATCTATAACGGCGTTACTATAGCGGGAATAAAATGTCAACCAATCATCGAGTTATATGTTAAAACTAGGCGTATCGTTTGTACCGTCGACGGTCCTGGAGAAGAAGTGCCTCGAGACGGCCCGGTGGTTGTACGTGTAGCAGATTATCGCGGCGAGTCGAAACATCACTATGCCTTCGTTAATCCGAAAATCAGCTCAATTCAGCCTAAATACGGTCCACAGTCCGGCGGCACTAAGTTACGTATCACCGGTGAATATCTAAATGCCGGAAGTAATATTCAAGCATTTATTGATGATTTACCATGCGCTATTTTATCTGTATCGCACGAGGAAGCGGTCTGTAGAACTAGTCACTCGTATCAGCTAAAAATGGGCACGCTGCGGATGCGTTTCGATAATGGAATGCGCACTTTAGAACGCGAAAAGTTCGAATATATCGAGGATCCCGTTGTAGTTTCCGTAGAATCTGGTCCACCATTAGCATCACAACGCAAACAACCCAAGGGCATTCCATCCGGAGGGATAAACATCAAAGTAATGGGGCGTAATTTCCATTCTATTCAGTTCCCACAAATATACGTGTATCACGATAACCGACCTTACATAGCCCCTTGTCATAGAGTCGATTTTCATATTCAGACCCATCTCATATGTGAATCTCCTGGGATCGAGAGCGCCGGCCTGAATCTAGATCCCGATAGGCCGTTAGAGTTAGAATACGGGTTCAATATGGACGACGTACAAAGCGTTCAGAATCTTACTACTAAGACGGGCGACGCGTTCCTTCTATACCCGGATCCTATTTATGAGAAATTTGACGAAGAGGTTAAGTATTATAAGTCTGAATATTTAACGATCAACGGTCAAAATTTAGACAGGGCCTGTACCGAATTAGATGTCGAGGTACATATAGGGGAGAGTTTGTGTAACGTGACTTCTCTTTCTAGACATCAATTAACGTGCAGGCCGCCGTCCCGTGACGAGCTGCCGGATGGTGTTGAAACTCCCGAGGTAGTCGTAAGGGTCGGTCGCGCTCTTACTTATAAGATCGGTAAATTATCCTATGCGTCGCAAGCAGGCTTACAGGCGACAATAGGACAACCAGTATTATTCGGTATTGCAGCTAGTATAGTATTACTCGTATTAGTATTTGGCGTGTTTCTAGTTATGTATAGGCGAAAATCAACTGAAAATATAAGAGTATTAAAAAATATGCAGGAGCAGATGGATATTTTAGAATTAAGGGTAGCTGCGGAGTGCAAAGAGGCATTCGCGGAGTTGCAGACTGAAATGACCGATTTAACGGGTGACGTAACGGGCGGTATACCGTTCCTCGATTATCGTACGTACGCTATGAAAATATTGTTCCCCAATATCGATGATCACGTCGTCCTTCAGTGGGAGCGTCCAGAGCTTATTAGGAAAGAAAAGGGTCTGAGATTGTTCGGACAGTTAATTATGAACAAAACATTCCTTCTATTATTTATTCGTACTTTAGAAAGCAATAGGTATTTTTCAATGCGCGATCGTGTTAATGTAGCTTCACTTATTATGGTAACCTTACAAAGTAAAATGGAGTATTGTACGGACGTTTTAAAGACTCTCTTGGCGGAGCTTATAGAAAAATGTATGGAGAGTAAAAGCCATCCTAAATTGTTGCTTAGGCGTACTGAAAGCGTGGCCGAGAAAATGTTAAGCGCTTGGTTTACTTTCCTCTTATACAAATTCCTTCGCGAATGCGCCGGCGAGCCACTCTACCTTTTGTTTAGGTCAATGAAAGGTCAAGTAGATAAAGGGCCTGTAGACGTTATAACCTCCGAGGCGCGATATTCTCTAAGCGAAGAAAAACTAATTAGGCAGTCGATCGATTTCAAACCAATGACCGTGAGCGTGTCCATATCGCAGCAAACCATCTTCGTTAGCGGCTTAGAGGCTACAACAGAAAACGTGCAAGTAAAAGTTCTCGACTGTGATACGATTAGCCAAGTAAAAGAAAAATGTTTAGACGCTATTTACCGCGCCACGCCTTACTCCCAGAGGCCGAGTCGTGATGAATTAGATTTGGAATGGCGCACGGGCGCTTGCGGTCGCTTGATCCTTTACGACGAAGATAGCACTACTAAATGCGAAGGTGAATGGCGCAAGCTCAATACGCTTAATCATTATCGCGTCCCCGACGGAGCTTGTTTGAGCTTAGTCGCAAAACAAAGTTCGGTTTATAACCTTTCCAATATGGAAAAGAGCGATAAATCGCACACTTATGAAACTCTAAACAGAGGAAAGTACGGTTCCGCTAGTCCGCCGGCGAGCCCGCTCAAATACGAGCACGGCGGCGGCTTCAAATACTGGCATCTCGTTAGGCATCACGACGGTGACGCACACAAAGAGGGAGAGCGCGGCAACAAAATGGTCTCTGAGATTTATCTCACGCGTCTTCTCGCCACTAAGGGCACGTTACAAAAGTTCGTCGATGATTTATTCGAGACTATTTTCAGCACCGCACATCGCGGCTCAGCTTTGCCTCTCGCAATAAAGTACATGTTTGATTTTCTCGACGACCAAGCGCTCCAGCACGCTATATCCGACCCCGAGGTCGTTCATACTTGGAAAAGTAACTCTCTGCCGTTGCGCTTTTGGGTGAATCTAATTAAAAATCCTAATTTCGTATTCGACGTTCACAAGTCGAACACCGTTGACTCTTGCTTATCTGTCATAGCTCAGACTTTCATGGACTCTTGCTCCACATCCGACCACATCCTCGGCAAAGATTCACCTTCTTCTAAGCTTCTGTATGCTAAAGATATCCCAGTGTATAAGGAGTGGGTAGAGCGGTACTACGCGGACATAAAACTGATGCCGGCCATATCCGATCAGGATATGAACGCGATGCTAGCCGAAGAGTCTCGTCTTCACACGAAGGAGTTCAACACGAACTGTGCGCTAAACGAGCTGTACTCTTACGCGGTGAAGTACAATGAGCAGTTGATGGTGACGCTTGAGGAAGACGAGTTCTCGCAGAAGCAGAGACTCGCCTTCCGCCTCGAGCAAGTACATCAGCTCATGAACCATGACTACAACGTGTGAGCCGGACGCTGTGCGCTCACGCCCCACCGCCCTGTACATACTGCCCCCGCACATATCTATGCTGGCAACTATTGTATATATTAGATAGTGTACAGTCTTTAATATTGTAATTTTTGTATAATTTCAGCGGTCCGATGTCGTTTTTTAATTTTATATATGAACTTTGTATTGATTTTACACGACGAAACCGACCGGCCGCGGTCGTGCCACAGTATGCATCGTAAACTATATTGTGTATGTCTGTATATGTGTGCTCGCGTACGAGTTAATGTTACGTCGATCGGTGTAAAATGTGTGTCGCAATGAAGTCGCATGTGAGCCCGCCCGCGAACGGCTGCCCTGCTCGCGGTCGGGCAATTTTTAAATTTGTACTCGCAGTCTACTTAACGAAATAACCGTCAGTGATCCGGTGAACGATTCCAATAATAAATATCGTCGAATGTACGTATTGTTTTATTGATTGATCGCAGCGCCATTATTCGCGTCGACGAAAGCCCGCCTCGGCAGTTGTCCACAGGGAGAGTGACCGGTGTGTAGTGGCGAGGCGGCAAGGGTGAAACGTCCCTGGTTTTTCAGCCGGTACGTGAAAATCGCGGCCCGAACCACTTTCGCGATCATGAACAACGTATACTGCATACCCGCTTACGTCGTGTGGATGATGGCGCTGCGGGTAACGAGACCCTTGTATGCACCAATGTATTGGAGGATCGAAGGACTTATGTATCACTGGCTATTGGCGATGGTGTCTCTGTGGTCGTGGACGGCGGGATATGAGAGTAAGTACACTAAATCTATCATACACGAAGATATTTATGGTAGACACGAATTATCAAGACAAAGTTAAATGAAAAAGTTAAGTGAATGCTTATAAAATGTAAGCGCTAAATTCATTTAGTTTCGTAAAACGTAATAGAAAAGTGTTCTAAAACAAAAAAAAAATCGTCTTTAAAAGGTCTAATGGTTACACTCAGACAGCGACAGAATGGGAGTTAATTGTGAACAAACTTAGCATCGTTCAAGCTAGGAGGGTTACCACGTGTCTGAGACTTCTGGGCTATTAAATGAGCCTCTAAAGGCTACAAATGAATTATATTAATTAACTTAAAAAAGTTAACCAGCTATTTAACGGAATGCGTAACTATAGATTAAGTATTTAAGATACTGTTAGGTCTGAAACAAGTATTAAAGGAGAGGAGATAAGATCTATGTCATCGATTATTTTAGTTTATTTATGATAAAGTAAAATGAAATCGTTTTTGTAGTTGAAATCTATACATACTATAATAAAGTTCTAACTGAGTTGAATCTGTACATAGAATATTTTTTTTGGAAAATCTTATTGAAATAGTCATTATTAATCGATACAGATGCCGAATCTATAGTTTTTAGATTTTTCTGTCTGTCTGGGAACGCATCACGAGAAAACCACTGGACAGATTTTGATGTTATTTGGTATGATGATAGCTGGTTATCCAGGTCAACATATTGGATACTTTTTACTGCGGGAAAATAGCTCAGCTCTAAAGAATCCGTACTAACCATTAAATGTATGACATGACATGGTAATGTATTATGAAACAAGCAGATTACTATCAAAATCGGTTGTTTCAAGATTTTTTTACTTAAAAGTGTATTAATTACGCACTGATTGATAAATGTTTGGAAAATAACTAATTGAGTATTCTTTATTCCACTATAACTTTTAATTTGTAATTTTTAAAATGTTAAAGAAGAAAGAAATAGAACAACTATCAAATAAATCTCTACATATACAAAACAAACTAAACGATAACTGTACCTTACATTGTTTTTTTTTTTCAATCTACACAATAATATTGTGATAGCGAGGTCAAGTTTATTGATTATTTTAATTTTTTAACTAGTGACCTTGATAGATATAGAATTTTATAGAAACCATATTAAGTCTTAAATTTTTGTGTTATTACTCTAGAACTACTGGATTTATTTCAATGTAACTTTTGGAAGTGAAACTTGTTTAGTGTGATTTGAAACTCGATCAGATGAAAATGCATCATGACAAAGAGACAAACAAACACATAAATATGTAGGATTAAGCCGGCGAGAGAATATTTTATAATGTAGTATACATAATGTTAAATAAGTTTTAAAGTTGGTAAAAATATTAATAAAATAAACCTTACAGTGTTATCCTACTCCTGATACTCTATATTCATTTCATTCTCTCGTAGGCTACTTTTCTGAAATTTCACTTCTACCGTGTGTAAATTGCATATACACATTTTTTTTAATAAAAAGTATAATAAAATCTAATAATCAAGTATAAGTACTAAACTATAAATAATATATTCTCAATTGTTTTCTCAATTTGAATTGTTTGAGGACAACGTTGAACGCGTTGCGTTACATAAGTGGAGGTCATGCTTAATGCCTGTGAACTAAGCTAAAAAAACACGATGTCGAAGTTTGAAGTTATATAATATAGCTTTATATATATTTATATTTATTAAACATATGAAATATTTTATTTAAGAATAACTTTTTTGATTAATAGGAGTTCATTTCTATATGTAATAATTGGTTGGATTTAATGTAAAAATGAAATTTTATATATCAATAAAAATCACTGAAGATCTTAAACGCATTGTGATAATGAAATAATGTGAGGTTAGGTGTTATATCCAAATCTAAGAAGGTCTTATAGTATCTAAAATAATAACAGTACCAAAAAAGATATAGACAAACATAGAACCTCCTTTTTGGAAGTCGGTTAAAAAGGGTACACCAACTTCCAAAGTCCATTTCTAAATAAATATTTCATCCTTGTAATTAAGAAAAGAATAATGAAAATCGATCGTTAATTAGAGTACAAATAAATATACACTAAAATGGAGTGCCTCCACCTTTTTTTTGAATTTGATCTTGTGATCAAAGAAATATTTACCTCACTCAGGATTTGAACCTACGACTGCAGCTTCTAAAATAGGCAGAACCTTAGTTTTTCTATTATGCTGACATCGATATTGAAATATTATGTAGAGAGAAAGTAGAACTATTTCTATGGCGCTGTCTGACAGTAATTATTACAAAGAAAAATAACAAACGATGGGAACTGCGGAACAACATGAAGACATGAAGACTCAGCCAAGGTAAGTGACGTGTTTTTATTGAATATTTACTATATAAGATCACGCGATATGAATTTAGTCGCATTATGTATGAAGTAATCATTTGTTAAAGGAAATATTTAGTTTTATTTTGTCATGTTACGTAATAACTAATTATATGCAAATGTATTCATAATTCGTCTTCTGGGAAGTCAAGGAAGGTTAGAGGTTCGGATCCTAGTTAGATAAAGCTAGCTAGCGTTTGTCAGTTATTTATTAAATTTTCAATAATAATTGTAAAACGGGATGTTTAACAGATTTTGATGATTGTTACTATCTAACACGTTTTAGACAATATTTCTGTGAGGCAGTCAGGAAAATTGATAATAGTTTTTTTTTCACAAATCACTTTATATAACAGAATTTAACAGAACTATTAACTTTTATATCTATACACTGTACAATGTACATACATCTAAATATATACTTATTTAACGCCATTTTAACACTGCAGAATAATTTCATCCCGAGCAAGACATTGACTTCCCGCGCAAATCGCAATTTCCATCCACTGCATTCCACTCTCCTCTACTCGCCTCTCACTTCACACCGCTCACTAGCGCCTCCTCTGACCAACACCCGCTCCTCACTTCACTATACTCGTTACATTTATATTGTGCAAACATTCATAGTATTGATGAAATTACATTCCTGTAGCCCTTCAAAGAATAATGTATTTTTTTTTAATTAAAATTTTATTAGAAACTTTCTTAATCTTTCATTTTAAATCGAACTTGTATAGTCTAACTTTTTATTAACATACTCGTAAGTGTTATAAATATCTCTGCTACAACTGTTTGTGGGTTTTTAATATTACTTTATATTGAAAAATATAACATTATGCCACTGGTTAAGTTTATTCGAAACTAGCGACTAGCTTGCTTCCAAAAAAAACTTATCCCCATTCTTACCCCCTTAAGGGATAATTTCCGGGATAAAAAATATTTTACTCACTTTTCATATTATGAAATTTAAACTTATTTTAGTATTTTTTTTAATTTTCTTCTATACAACACTTATCCTGACAATAAGAAATACAAAAAAAAAAAAGAATTATCCAATTTTGTGCAGTCGATCAGAAGTTATGCGTGTACATACATTTCGGTGATTCGTTTTTATTTATATAGATTAATTATAAACGTCTAATTTACTAGTAACTTAATACTTAAAATATACTTAATTTGTATATTCTTAATAGGCTTCTTTATTAGATTTATATTAAATATGAACGCGAATCATGTATGTGAATGTGATGTGAGTATGTTTGTTATTACTTAACACTGTAACGGCTGGACGGATTTTGATGAAGTTTAGTATACAGTGCAATACCACATAGACACCCAAAAAGCACTTAGATGAAGCGAGGGGAATTTTTGATGTTTTTTTTTCTATAGAAAAGATCGAGATTATTAAAAAGATTTTAAAATAGATGTACGAGGCCAAAGAACTTGAAAATTAAATGTCGATAGCCTCATTGTTTATCGCTGCATCTATTTTAATATGGCTATGATTAACCTCTCTATTCAAGGTGCCGTGATGTGCGCTTTCATTGAAGTAGATTTTGTTTTATTTACAAATTATAGCCTAGTGTTTTAGACTGGTTCTCCCATAGAATTATAACTAGTTTTAGGATATTCTTTTAATTATCACAAAAAAGTTGTACTAATTAAAAGTAAAAAAAAGTTGTACTATTTTCAACCAACTTCCTCAAAAAGGAGGAGGTTCTCAATTTAGCTGTTTTTTTTTATTTCTTTACTAGCGGCTCACCCTCGCTTCGTTTGGTTTCATCCTTAGGTACGTTTTAACGGCAAGTATGGAATAGATAGACTATATATTATATTACTGCTCCGCTCCCTTGTGTAGCAGCATAATGATATATAGCCTATATCCTTCCTCTATAAACGGGCTATCTAATGCAAAAAGAATTTTTCAAATCGGATTAGTAGTTCCTGAGATTAGCGCGTTCAAACAAACAAACTCTGTTTCTTTATAATATTTGTATGAATAGATGCTATAAATAAATCTTTACCTTATAAATTATCTTGTAGGTATGTTATTCTAAGCATTCTGAAATCTAAAGCCATATCTCTTGCCTTTCATTTATTAGTTTAATCAAATTTATTCAACAGTATAATCTTTACGCACATTGAGCGTTGGAGTTAATTATATTTATTAATATTATGAGAATGAAGTTGGTAATTAAATGATAACAGGTTATTTATTCGCGAATCATTTCCAACATGATTACCACTTGGTTTATGGTGAAGGAAACCTGCATGTCTGAGAGAACCTGGCGAGTTTTCGAAAGACATGTGAAGTCCGCCAACGCGCACTTGCCCACCGTGGTGTTATATGGTCTGATCCCTCTCGTATTGAAGGCATTTCTTCAACCCACCCAGCAGTGGGACGTTAAGAAGGGCTGAATACAAATGCTATTTATTATATAGTTATGTTTTATTTATGGTGCTCATTGATAAACACGCAGACAGCCCACCCGATGGAAAGCGGTACATGTCGCCCATAACACCTACGGTTGAAACACGGTTAAACTAAGGAATGTATGATAGTGACATATCTTCTACTTACCATATGATCAAAATATTTCATTAATTTATATTTATTTATTTATTTGTATAGAATGGAGTACAAAAATATTTTTAACAATAAAAGTTTTTACTCAATGTTGCCGTTATTACAAATTGAGTTTTTTTAATGTATACTAATATCATAAAGAGATTGAGTTTGTTTGTTTGTTTGTTTGAACGCGCTAATCTCAGGAACTACTAATCAATCAGATTTGAAAAAAAATTGCCTGTTTATTGATTTTTTAGACTGAAGGCTTTTATAGTCTCTATATGGTCCCGATAAAATGTACGGTTCTCGTGGGATAGATAGGTCTAATTCAATGATACATTTTTTCTATTAGCTATATGAAATTAGAACTCAGTTTTTCTATTGGCACAGGTCGGATATTGTATTCGATTTTTTTTTAAATGTTTAATAATTTATCTGTTCTAATTTGACTAATTTATTAATGTCTAAAGAAAAATCTATTGTGTACATTGTATTTGAAATTCGATGCCATATTGGATCAAAGTTCTCAAAATTTATATGGAAAGTAGTCTGTTTCCGACCTGTTTATTAAAGTTATTATTACTGGTAGTTATTGAAAAATATAAAATTGAAAATATCAAAAGAGGACTCGCTAGTTTTATTATAAAACTGGTAGGCTATTCTATATGCAATTATTTAGAAATTTAAAGTGGAAGTTTTAAAATTTATATAGCTTTTAGTCACTTTGATATCGATTCGCATTAAATACAGCTGCACTAGTGAGTTCGTTTCTATTTGTATTGCCTTTATGACATGTGTTTTATTTTTATTTGCTTCTAAACGTGAAATTTTTTTTATCTGGCTGCGGCGAAGTCTAAAAGAGGCTTGTGTGGTTGACCGATTTTGATGAATTATTGTTTGTTTTAATATGTGTGTGTGGTATATATGTGTTATAGTAGTAAATGAGGGTCTTGAAAAATATATATAAATAATAATATATTATATATGTTAAACAACTTACATTCATATTTCATGTGTTTAAAATAAATTGAGATAACACATTGTTAATAATTAAAACTCATATTTCTAACTGGTCAAAACTAAATTTTCATAAATGCTTCTAAGTTTGTTGTGTAAAAACATAAAAATAGTAAAGTGAAACAACTAAAATATCTAGTTATATTTAGACCTCCTCTTTTTTAGATTTTTAAATTTAATAACTTCTAGATAGGTTTATTATCGGATAGGCAGTTATGTCGAAATAACAAACATTTAATTTTATATAGACACATGTAATATAATATGTGTCAGGCATTCGAACTTTAACGACAAGTTTTAGAGTAAACCTTTTGAAATAGTTTTATGTACATCGTAAACAAGATTAAGTTACCAGTTATATGAATATTATGTACTTTTTAATAAATAAAAAATAAATATGTTGGGACATTAACACAGCGCCATCTAGTTCTATGGTAAGCTACGAGGCTTGAATTATGGATATCAGATAGTAGCTAGACTCGAACCCGTGACCGCTGGCATAGCAAGTAGGGTTAACACTACGAACTGAGCCAAATGTGTCGACGAATTACAATAAAGATTATGTAGCTTTAAAACGTTACCGTTGGTCAAAGCACATAACGCATAGACAAAACTTAGATTTTGAAACTAAGGTATTAAAGAAAATTCTAAATTTAAAATTTAATCCCCAAATGGGTATTGAAATTTGCATTTTTTTTTAAATGTCCGATATTTAAATGTGAAAAAGCGTTTAAAGCTAGGGCATAACACTAATTACTATAAAAAAAAACAAACTTATCAGACCGACCAAGTATAAACAAATGTAAAATGTTTAATTATAAATGTTTAAACTAAATGATAAATTTATTTACGACATACATTTCGGCCTTATCAATTCTCTTATCTCGGTCCAGGGAGATTTTTCTTGGTATGTGACATCTACGAGTTATTTAGATGCATGACGATGTAAAGCTATGCTGATATGTGGGAGTAGAGTGCGGTAACTTTCATATATGTACTTATAAACCAGCTTTTAACTATAGCTTTCTAAGCTTACATTGAATTTACCCAACTTTTGATTAAAGCTTAATAGGAATTCGAAGTTATATTATGGTTCCGTTAACATTCATTGTCTAAAATGTAAAGTTTTGGTAAATATTAAGCTACCTTTTAATACTTCACTAGCTACTTAGCTTTCGCTCGGGTGCGTCCCTAAGCTCGAATGGCTTAGGAACGCATAAATAAACGCATAGATAAACGTTGAAAGAGATTTTT